CAGTGTTTGTATCAGGGCAGGTCCATTTGGTTATCAACAGGGAAGGTTGGTGTCCATCGGGACTGGTAGGATGGAAGGCTAGCAGGAGACCGAGGCAAAATGAATAGCAGATACAGAGCCAATAATAGGCAGAGCCAACCAATTATTGTTTTGTCCCCATCCTCCTTCCTTAGACTGTGGAGGAGGAAGTTGACAGGCAATTCCACTCTTCTGACTGGTTTAAAATAGGCAGGCAGGCAGGTTGGGGCTAGCTGAGGGCAGACAGAGCTTGGTGGGGCCCATTTGGTCCAGAATTGCAGATATTTGACCATACAATACCTGTGCTTTGTCAGCCTCGCTGGCTCCCATTTAATCTCTGAGCCCAATTTAAGACGTTTTTAATATTTAAAGCTCAAGATACCCAGCTCTACCTCTCTTTTAAATCAGAACCAGTGAAGGCGGTGAAGGTCCTGTGTGAGTGTCTGGAGGCGGTTGGAGGATGGATGGCGGCTAACAGATTGAGGTTGAATCCTGACAAGACAGAAGTACTGTTTTTGGGGGACAGGAGGTGGGCAGGTGTCGAGGACTCCCTGGTCCTGAATGGGGTAACTGTGCCCCTGAAGGACCAGGTGCGCAGCCTGGGAGTCATTTTGGACTCACAGCTGTCCATGGAGGCACAGGTCAAATCTGTGTCCAGGGCAGCTGTTTACCAGCTCCATCTGGTACGTAGGCTGAGACCCTATCTGCCTGCGGACTGTCTCGCCAGAGTGGTGCGTGCTCTGGTTATCTCCTGGTTGGACTACTGCAATGCGCTCTACGTGGGGCTACCTTTGAAGGTGACTCGGAAACTACAACTAATCCAGAATGCGGCAGCTAGACTGGTGACTGGGGGCGGCCGCCGAAACCATATAACACCAGTCTTGAAAGACCTACATTGGCTCCCAGTACGTTTCCGAACACAATTCAAAGTGTTGGTGCTGACCTTTAAAGCCCTAAACGGCCTCGGTCCAGTATACTTGAAGGAGCGTCTCCACCCCCATCGTTCTGCCCGGACGCTGAGGTCCAGCGCCGAGGGCCTTCTGGCGGTTCCCTCATTGCGAGAAGCAAAGCTACAGGGAACCAGGCAGAGGGCCTTCTCGGTAGTGGCGCCTGCCCTGTGGAACGCCCTTCCAGCAGATGTCAAAGCGATAAACAACTACCTGACATTCAGAAGACATCTTAAGGCAGCCCTGTTCAGGGAAGTTTTTAACGTGTGATATTTTAGTGTATTTTTGGTTTCTATGGAAGCCGCCCAGAGTGGCTGGGGAGGCCCAGCCAGATGGGCGGGGTATAAATAATAAATTATTATTATTATTATCAAGAGTATTGGGACCAGGTTACCTGAATATCTGCCTTCCCTCATATGTACCTACTTAAACATTATGATCTCCTTCAGAGGTCCTGTTCTGAGTGACCTCGTCAAATGAAGTAAGCGGGGAACCACTATTGTAATCTTTCCCAACTTTGGGTCTCCATATATTGCTGGACTAAAGCTCCTGTTATCCCAGAAAGCATGGCTCGATGGGCAGAAATGTTGGGAACTGTGGTCCAACAAAATCTGCGGACCCAAGGTTGGGAAAGGCTGCACCAGGGAGTGGCATCCTGGTTATGGTATAGCCTTCCCAGAAAGCTTTGTCTGGCACCCCATTATTCCTCACCATTGGCTATGCTGGCAGGTACTGATGGGAGTTGAGAGTCGAACACAATAGGAACACAAGAAGCTGCCTTATACTGAGACAGATCACTGGTCCAGCTAGCTCAATGTTGTCTACAGCAGGTATGGGGAACCTTTGTCCTTCCAGGTGTTGCTGAACTACAATTCCCATCATTCCCTAACTAATGACCATGCTTGCTGAGACCGATGGTTGCTGTAGTTCAGTAACATCTGGCCAAAGGCTCATTACACGTAGTCTACTGTAGCTGGCAGCACCTCTCCAGGTGTCAGACAGGGGCATTCCCAGTTCAACCTGGAGATGTTAACATTAAACCTGAGGTCTTCTGCATGCAAAGTAGATGCTCTACCACAGAGCTATATACCCCATCCCCATATAGAGAGCAGCTTGTTCCCCATCTCTGCTCTAATCCACAAAAGCTGATGCATCAGTAAAATGTTTCACAAGATCCATGCGGACCCCATCAATTATGTGGTTCCTTCCCATGATGGTGTTTCTCCTCCCACAGAGAGCCGGACAGGTCTGAGAAGAACCACATTAATAATACACTCCTCAGAGATGACCTAGGCTAGTTTTATGCCTGATCAGAGAAATTTAAATGGGATTCCCCATCTCCATGAAGAAAGTATCACAATCCCCTCTATTTTTAATGTTCAGGTGGTGAGTGTCATTGCATATGTAACCAAAATAGTACTTCCTATGTGTGATAGGGAGGCATCAGCAGGATCAGGGTAACTCCAAGATTTACAAAGTACAAAACATTTTATTTTCTCTTTGTGAAAAAAGCCCCTAAAGGGGAAAACCATTGAGGACTCTGAGCATGATCAGATGCCACAGAATGCTAATTGACAGCTAGAGGCAGTGGGCTGGAAAATAAGGAAGGAGGGGGAATGGAATGGAGTATCCTGAGCAGGAGCAGTTCATAATGCAACATTCTCTTGCAGATTCTGTAGCAGGTTTGGATGGATTTGCTGGGATAGCTCAGTCAGTAAAGAATGAGACCTTTTAGTCTGAGGGTTGTGACTTTGAGCTCCATGTTGGGTAAAGGTTTCTGCATTGCAGAGGGTTAAACTAGATGATCCCTGTGGTCCTTTTCAACTCTACTGTCCTATGATTTTATGATATACTAATGCCAATTCAAGTCCTTTCATGCTTACAGCATTGGAGCCAAAACAACACAATCCTTGTACTGTACAAAAGAGAGACACCACTGGAGTTAGGCTAACCAGGAGTTTTGCAGATAGTTAAAAAAATGTGCAAGGGGAAACATTTCCCCATGCTGCATTGAGGAAGATGCTCAGTGCTAGAGCATGTGTCATGCATACAGTCTCAGGTTTAACCCCTGGCATCACCAGGTACGGTTTGTAGTGTACCTTGTCCAAAACGCTAGAGCTTGATGGACCAATTCATTCAACTCAGCATAAGGCAAAGTCCTGTGTTCTTATTCCTTCCTCCTGCCCTGCCCTACAAAATGCCAACCCCTGATAGCTAACTAGCTGTGTAAGTGGAGAAAATACAGACAACTAGGTAGACTGAAGTGGCTATTTTTAAATGTCCCCAAGGATAGAAGAGATGGCTGCTCAAGCATATCAATGGAGAAACTATGACATTTAATGTAGCTGGGTTTGGGCATCATTGTGTCATAGCAGCTCCTCCATCCCCTGGTAATATAGTTTAGGAACCAGGCCTTTTAAAGCAAACTGACAATATTGGAAGTGACATATCAATGAGCACTAGGATTCAACCTTTCAGCCGATCTTTGATGGGTGATGGGTCAGCTCAGAGATCAGCTCCAACTCAAGTCAGTGAGCACTGCTCTGTTCAGTACTGAGAAACCTGGCTAATCCAGTCAGGAAGAGAGGAGACCAGACCATTTACAGCCACCATTCATAGACAAGGCTGTGACAGTCAAGCCCTGGGCCTGCCTCCTGGTGACTCAGAAACCAGTGACAGCTGGTGAAACCAACAGCCAGTCAGGAGAGAGGGGAAGTTTTAAGTGTAGGCTTACTGTTTTAACTCAAGGTTTTAACTCAAGGTAGGTACTCAAGAATGTAGACCGGGATTATATGTGGCAGAGCTTTCCAAACTTTTCATGTTGGTGGTGGCACACTTTTTAGACATGCATCATTTTGCAAGACAGTTGTTCAGTTTTAATAGCAAGGTAAAGGTAAAGGGACCCCTGACCATTAGGTCCAGTTGCAGACGACTCTGGGGTTGCGGAGCTCATCTCGCTTTATTGGCCGAGGGAGCCAGCGTACAGCTTCCGGGTCATGTGGCCAGCATGACTAAGCCGCTTCTGGAGAACCAGAGCAGCGCACGGAAATGCCGTTTACCTTCCCGCCAGAGCGGTACTATTTATCTACTTGCACTTTGACGTGCTTTCAAACTGCTAGGTTGGCAGGAGCAGGGACCGAGCAATGGCAGCTCACCCAGTCATGGGGATTCGAACCGCCGACCTTCTGATCGGCAAGCCCAAAGCTCTGTGGTTTAACCCACAGCACCACCCGCGTCCCTTTTTAATAGCAAACCAGAGGTTAAACTAACTCCTTTCCGAGTATTTGCACGACACACCTACGCACTGCAGCCAACACACTAATGTGTTGTGACACAGTTTGGAATGCTCTTGTCTGCATATTAGACAGGGACAGTGGAGATAGGGAGAAATTGTCAGTGTGGGCAGTTGGGGTTTGGGCTATCTGAGTGGGTTAGCTAGGCAGGGCAACCCAGTTTTGATTCCCTGAAGAGATCTTAAATTTCAGAAGGGAATGGGTGGGTGTTGCTGATTAGGAACATTAATAGCCATTCTAGGTAGAAAAAGTCTATCCGAATCTTAAGATGGAAAGAGTGCTGTTTTAAATTCTCAGTAAAGGGTTTGTGTCTTGAACCAAGTTTAGGGTCTCCCTTAGCATTGCCATCATGCTTTACACTCTCATAGAGTGTGTAACTAAATAAACATCCAGTTTTGTTACCAAAGTGTCTCTTCATCCTTTGAACCTATGCATGGGAAATGAGTGAATATTGTGCAGCCTTTGCAGAAGTACACCACCTTGCTTGGCAGTGTAATCATAAATACTACCAGAAACAGCTAAGTCTATACTTCTCTCCTGAGTTAATAACAGGGTTGTTGTTTTTCCTGTTAACATACCAATAAAACCCGTCACGTTACCCAGCACCCATCTTCAGTGAAGGTGTTTATCACAAGGGCTTGTTCATATCACAAACCAGCAGAAACAAAGCTACAACCAAACCAGTTGAATGCCATACAAATTTTATTATTAACTTAACATTTAACTTAGATTGAGACAAGTGGGTCTTGTTTCAGTTCATCGAGGGACAAAACCATCTGCCCTTCTCACTCACAGTCACACACATACCCATTAAATGGTCAGGAATTGCAACCTCAACAGTTCAGCAGGGACAGGGGTTTTTGCTGCTCCCGTCTGCATTAAGCGTCATTCTCGATGCCTTCCCCTGCTGCCTCTCCATATCCCGATAAAGTAGAGACTTCTGGGCCTTCAGCCGGCAAGCCAGACACATGAAAATAGATTCCACATTCTGACTTTCTTTGGGGTCCTTGGCTGAGGTTTCAAACAAAAGCATATTATGTGCATCAGCAAACTTCAGGGCCATGCTGGATGGCACCTGGATCTGGTCCCGCAAGTCACACTTGTTTCCCACAAGCACTTTAGGGACAAGGGCAGGGACTGCATGGCCATTGCACTCCTCAATCCAGGTCTTAAGATTGATGAAGGAAGCCATCTTGGTGACATCATAGACGAATACAACAGCATGCACATTGCGGTAGTAGTGCTCCACCATGCTCTTCCGGAACCTTTCCTGGCCTGCTGTGTCCCAGACCTGCACCTGTGGAACAGAACAGAATTTCTGAAGAGTCTACAAACCAGGTAGAGAGTACATTCATGCAGGATCAGCTCCAGCATTAAGGGTCGACATGGAGGAAGATCCAAAGATCAAGGTATGAGCACCTGCTTTGCCTGTAGTTCAATTACAGGTGGAGCTTGGAATGTCTCCTGCCTAAATCCTCAAGAGTTGCTCCCAGTCTTTGTTGATAATATTGAACTGGAAGGACCAATGGTCTGACTGAGTATAGGGCAGCTATCTATGCTCATATGAAGGCCCTCAGCAAAGTGCTTTTGGCAGGCTCTGGGCTCACCCATCTGAGGCAGCAGGCAGCTACAAGTTGCCACTGAAACAAATTCCCACAATGCCCGTGCTGTACTGTCGTCTTTTTATTTTGTATAATGGCATGGAGCCAAGCAATGCCAGTGGCACTGTGGGAAAACTAACAAGGAAGCTCACAGACCCAGCCACTATGTGTATGTGTGTGTGCACACGCGCATGTACTCACCCAAGACAGGAACCAGGGCAAATGAGCTCTGAAGGAAATGCTAGAATCTTTTAACAGCTCACAGAAAATGTTCAGCCTCCATTTATATCCAGCTTTTCCTTCAGGAAGCCCAGAGTGTCCCACATGGTTCTTCCTCCCTCTTTTATTTTATATAACCTTAGTATGGCTGAGATTTCTCCCAATTCATCTTCTGAGCTTTGTGGCTGATTAACGATTTGAAACTGGACCCTAGTCTTACACACTTAGGCCACCACATTATCTAAGGTCATATCCACACCCTTTAAAGCACATGGCTTTCCCCTAATGAATGCTGGGAACTGTAGTTTGCCTGCAGTACTGGAAATTGTAGCTCTGTAGGGGTAAACTACTGTTCTCAGGATTTTTTGGGAGAAGCTCTAACTTTTAAAGTGGTAAAAGTGTGTAGAGTGGTACCTCGGGTTACATACACTTCAGGTTAAATACGCTTCAGGTTACAGACTCCGTTAACCCAGAAATAGTGCTTCAGGTTAAGAACTTTGCTTCAGGATAAGAACAGAAATCGTGCCCTGGCGGCGCGGCGGCAGCAGGAGGCCCCATTAGTTAAAGTGGTGCTTCAGGTTAAGAACAGTTTCAGGTTAAGAACAGACCTCCGGAAAAAATTAAGTACTTAACCAGAGGTACCACTGTATTGGTTGTGACCTAGTTTAAAATATATGTGGATTTATAAGCTGCTTCACAAGAAAAATATGCTGAAGGGGTATATTCAATAAAAGTCAAATATAGAAGCCCTAAAAGATTATGAATTCAATAAAATCAAAGTCAATTAAAGTTTTTTTCTACAATTATAAGAGTTATTATTCCCTAATATGACCCATTTCATAGGTAGGCTCAGCCTTCTCCCCAGCTGAGACAAGGAGAGATTAACAAGAAGACATGGGCCTACTTCCTAGCCCACACCTTTCTAGCCCATACCTTTCTTAGTTGAGTAAACATGAATTGATCTCCCTTCACCTAATATTTTCCCACAACCAGCAATCTCTTCCACTTGTTAACCTTTGTAATCTGGTCTTGAAGCAAAACAAGGCCAAATGGCCGATCTTTGTCCTCAGAAGGTTTTCTGAGGGCCTGGAGGCAGAGGAGCTTCAAGGAAACTGGGTCTGTATTCATGAGGCAATAGGAATACACTGCACTGCTTAAGACAGGGGTGCCCAAACTTTTTTCAAAGAGGGCCCGATCTGATGAAGTGAACATGCATGAGGCTGTGATGGCTTTATATTTGAAGTGATTTTTCCACAGCCTGGTGCAGTTTGCCCACAGCACTAAGCCAAAATCACAGCTAAGCATGAATGCACTAGTGTGTGGATTCTCACAGTAAAAAAGAATAGTGGCTGCTTCACTTCCTCCCAGGGTCATCCTGCTCCCATGCTAGTACTGGAACTAAGGCATGCTCTGGCTTAGCATTATGGTTTGCCTCCTGCAGATAAGGCATGAGCAGTAATCCAAAAGCAAACCTTGGCTACAGTTCATAGAATCATAGAGTTGGAAGAGACCACAAGGGCCATCGAGTCCAACCCCCTGCCAAGCAGGATTTGTTTGATTTGGTTTGTTTGAAGTGAGACAAACCCCAAGCCTCAGAGTTCAGACTTAACATTACGCCAAACCATCCCTTAGCTATGGGGAATGAGAGCAACAGTCATTTTGACTGCGTGTACCCACACACTCACATTATATGGGGTTATTTTTTAGAGAACATATTCATGTGGTTGGGAGAGGATGCAAGATTGCCATACAGAGGGTAACATGTGCGTTTACAACCCTGTGTGGTAGGAAAAAGCTGCTGTGGGGGGAGAGGTTTGCAGTTAAGAAATTGCAGTGAGGAAAGGGTCAAGCAAAATGTTTCCTGCCAGCTCTCCATTGTCAACCTCCCTTTTTTAAAGCATTAAAAAGAAAGAAAGACGTTTTTAAACATTACATCTATTGGGGCACTCCGGGTCAGAACCCACAACTGCATGGCATCCTGACCACTGGGGTATCTGCAGTTTTCTTTAAAAAGGAGAAACAAAGAAAATGAGCTATCAGATGCAAGGGAAGGCAGAGCTCTTTTACCTTTGACAGTTGAGCAGGACAGGGAAAAATGTTGACTGCAGCAGCTTGTTAACCTTAAGTAAAGTAAAGGTAAAGGGACCCCTGACCGTTAGGTCCAGTCATGGATGACTCTGGGGTTGCTGCGCTTATCTTGCTTTACTGGCCGAGGGAGCCAGCGTACAGCTTCCGGGTCATGTGGCCAGCATGACTAAGCCACTTCTGGCGAACCAGAGCAGCGCACGGAAACACCGTTTACCTTCCGGCTGGAACGGTACCTATATATCTACTTGCACTTCGTGCTTTCAAACTGCTAGGTTGGCAGGAGAAGGGAATGAACAACGGGAGCTCACCCAGTTGCGGGGATTCGAACCGCCAACCTTCTTATCGGCAAACCCTAGGCTCTGTGGTTTAACCCACAGCTCCACCCGCATCCCTAACCTTAGGTAAAGATAACTGCAACTACACTAAACTCCCTCTCCTGATCAGAATTCCCTACTGTTCTGAACTGCGCTTGGGAACTGTGGAGAGAAAAAGGAAAAAAGTGGACATGAGAGTGGTGGACAGGTCAGATGCTGTGGCTGAATGCTTATGAAATTGCTCTGTAGAGTTTGCAGTGTGGGGTTGAATCCCAAGAGCACCTGCTCTTTCGGAAGGGGCTGTAGCTCAGTTATGGAACATATGTTTTCCATGCAAAAGGTCCAAGTCCAAGCCCTGGCATCTTCAGGTAGGGTTGGGAAAGATCCATGTCAAAACCCTATTGGTTGTCCATGTAGTCCAGCCTTTCCCAGCCTGGTGCCCTCCAGATTTTTGGACTATAACTCTCATCAGTCCCAGCCAGCATGACCAGTGGTAAGGGATGATGTTAACTGTAATCCAAGCCACCTAGAGAGCACCAAGTTGAGAAAGGTTAGTATATTAAGTTTAAACCCCGCCACTTTGCCAAATTCCTCTATTTTCTGCAGGGCTTCTTGTACATTTTTCTTTGGATCTTCTAATGTTAAAACTAGATTGTCAGCAAACACTTTTATTTTAAACTCTTTTACTCCCACCTTAACCCCTCTAATTTCTGATGTTTCTCTCAAATTCTTATTTAGAACTTCCAAAACCGTAATAAACAGCAACGGTGACAGGGGACACCCCTGTCTGGTCCCCTTGGAAATTTCGAAAGTGTCTGCCAAATTATTATTTATAATAAGTTTGGCTTTTTGTTATAGATATATGGCTTCAATACCTTTCAGAAAAGACCAATAATGTTAGTTAAAAACATGAACAAAGAAGAGACAGAGGAATTGCAACAGGAGACAGGAATCATGGTGGCTAAGAAAGTGAAATACCTCGGAATATGGCTGACAACAGTAAATATAAATTTGTATAAAGATAATTATAAAACTACATGGAGAGAGATTAAGAAAGATCTAGAAATTTGGGATAGGCTGAAACTCTCTTTCCTAGGCAGAATATCAGCGATTAAGATGAATGTTTTACCTAGAATGTTATTCTTGTTCCAAACAATTCCAGTGATTAAGGGGACAGGACAATGTAGAGAGTGGCAAAAAAGACCGTCGAGATTTGTCTGGCAGGGAAAGAAGCCGAGGATTAAAATGAAAATTTTGATAGATAAAAAAGAAAGAGGCAGATTTGCCCTACTAGACATGAATCTCTATTATGAAGCGTCCTGTCTCATATGGCTGAAAGAATGGATAACACTGGAAAACACAGACCTTTTGGATTTATAAGGGCATGATAACAGGTACGGGTGGCACTCGTACCTGTGTTATGATAAAGTAAAGGTCCATAAAGGTTTTTTAAACCATATGATAAGGTGTGGGAAAGAAAAATTATTGGAAAGGAAAACCCCATGGTGGATATCGCCAATAGAAGTGTTGACCATCAAGAAAGTTAACATGGAGGGAAAGAAGAAATTACTAGAAAAATTACTAGAAAAATGGAACAAGGGATAAAACTTAAGCCATATGATCAAAGAGAAGGTATGCTTACAGGTTGGTTGCAATACCATCAGCTTAATGATATGCTGAAGGATGACAAAAAGAAAGCTGGGTTTGAAGACAAAAAAATCAAGATTTCAAATAGACTTAACAGAAGGCAGAGGTAAAACATTATCCAAAATGTATGCTTTGTTATTAGAATGGTTTACAAAAGATGAGGAAATGAAAGAAGCAATGATAAAATGGGCTATAGATTTTGAGCATAATATTGAATTGGATGCATGGTATGAGTTGTGGAAGGTAAATATGAAATTTATGGCATGTACGGCTTTAAAAGAAAACCTAATAAAAATGATCTATAGATGGCATTTAACAGCGGTAAAGCTGGCAAAAATGTAGAGGATGAAGGATAAAAAATGTTGGAAGTGCAAAGAGGTGGATGGAGATTTCTATCATATGTGGTGGACTTGTGATAAAGTTAAGAACTTTTGGAAGCTATTTTATAATGAACTTAAGAAAAATTTTAAGTACACTTTCCCCAAAAAACCAGAAGCCTTTTTGTTGGGTTTGATGGGGAAAGAAATTAAGAAAGTAGACCAAAGATTCTTTATGTACACCACAGCTGCAGCAAGAAATATGATTGCCCCAAATCGGAAAGTGCAAGAAGTCCCTACCGTTGTGGAGTGGCAGACGAAAATGATGAGTTATGCAGTTAGCCAAACTGACGGGAAGAATGTGGAACTAGGACGACCAGAGGTTTCAAGAAAGTTGGAGTAAATTTATGGTGTACGGTATATAAAAGACGATTGTAAAACTTTAAAAACACTGGGAGGATTGAAATAGCTCTTACAATGTATGGCAGATATAAGATTAAATAAATAGAATATGCAATATAAGAAAATAAGGGATACTCGCTGAAGTATCCCTTCAGCAGATGGGAAGTTGTGAGCTTGGCAGAGCTAAAGCAATTATGTGATTTACTGTATTGTATTGTTAAAGTATGAATAAGGAAAATAATAAAAAATTTACTGGGAAAAAAGAGGAAAAAAAGAGAAAAGTTAGTATAGGCAATCTCCTATATGAGTTTTTGCTCTTTAAAGGTCTATGACTCATAGAAGCATATAACTGTAGAGTTGGAAGGGACCCTAAACATACCAAACTCCTACAACCATTCCTCATAAGGCTTGGTTTCCAACCCTTGATCCTCTTGGTTGCCCTCTGCATACATTCCAGCTTGTCAATATCCTTCTTAAACTGAGTATGGCATTAGTATGTAATGTATACTTTGCCCTGGAATTTACTGTAACTGAGCAATCTGAACACTTCTGCAGATGCCTATTTATGATATCTAAATAGTCTGGATTTTATTTCTTTCTTCTCTCATCCCCACTGTCAATATGTGTGCTCTCGATTGGCCTAACATTGCAAGGATGTAGCAGAGATGACTGAACCAGCACATATATATCCAGTCCTTAATTCCTGGTGTGCAAAAGTGATCCAAAACTAAAACATCCAGAGTTAATAACAGCTTCAGAATCCCACAGTATAGGTAGTCCTTGTGCAATCACACAGAGATCTCAATAGAAGTCTGCATAACAGAAGCACCAGGACTGAGTACAGTTTCTGGGCTGTGATGTGACTGTGAGAATGCACTGAAATCTTGGCCCTGTTCATACCTCTCTTTTCCACCAGTGTATCTCCCCCACACCTTGTCCATTCTACTGGGAAGGAGGTGTTTGCTTACTGAAACATGTGAAGTAGCCATAAAGAACAGAGAATCTGAGCACAGTACAGTTATGGATGCTGGTTCATTCATGCATGCCAATTGATTATGGACATGGTAGTGAACTGCCGGTAGGAACAGGCCATCACAGATTCCAGCACTGAAGCCAGAACTTTCATATCAGGCATAACAGGGGAGGAGGGTGTCAGTTCACAGATGCAAGTCATCAAGTAGTTGAGTAATGAAGTGATGTAAATGCAGTGAGCACTATGCCCTGGCCCTCTTTCTCTTGCCACTATAGGGCATCACAACCAGCTTTAGCAATCGGGAGTTGCCAAGTTGGGGGTGAGGGACGGGGAATGCTTCCACCACACTTGACTTCCAGACACTGTGGAGCCCTAAAACACTTGTAATTTTAGAAATTAGCCACTGTGAAATTAATACCCCAACCTTCAGAAGAACCTAGAGCCAGAATGATGTAAGTAGTTAGGGAGAATATACATGCAACACAGTCAGCCATTGGTCTGTCTATACTGAATAGCAGAGCCTATCCAGGGTTGCAGGCAGGGTTCTTTCTTCCAGCTTTATCAAGGATTGAACCTGGGACCTTCTGCATGCAAAGCAGGAGCTCTACCACAGATTTACGGCCCTTCAAATCCTTACTTAGCCATTAAGTTTACTGGGCCAGTCCCCGTTTTGCTGTCTCTCCCTCCCTCATCATTTCCCACCCAATAGGGTTTTTGTGAGCATATTAAGATGGTGGTGAGGAGAACAGCACCAGGATTCGGATTAGACAAAATAGATACATCTTACACACTGTGCCTTAAGAAGCTTGTAGTTCAGGGTGGCTTGCCTACTGTTGCTCCTCCTCTACCCAAGCCTGTCTTATACTGGTTTCCCGTTACTCTCCCAAGACCAAACAGGGTTCTATAGCCTGCTTCTCTGGGAGTCCATCGATTTTTTGCTCCCCAGCTCTCCTCACCTCCATGGGGCGCCCTACATCCTTTCAGACATGGCAGCAATAGAAGACGAGCGGAGCTTTCAGAAGAAGCATCCTCAATTATGGTTGCTTAAAAAAAACATCCCGATAACAACAGACGAAGCCACCTGGAAGGATACCCGGCTCCCAGAAAAGGCTGTGTGCACCAGGCCCGGCTCCCCCGCTCTCTCCCTCTTCCCTCCCTGCTTTTCTTCCTGCTGTACCTTGATGTGCTCTCCCTCAATCTCCACCGCCTTCTCCCTGAAGTCCACGCCGATGGTGGCTTCGGTGTTTGCCGGGAAGGCTCCCCCGCAGAAGCGCACAGTCAGGCAGGTCTTGCCCACGTTGGAGTCACCAATGACGATGATCTTGAAGATGCGCGTCTGAACGGACTGCTCCATCGAGGCTTCCAGCTCCATTCTGGAAGGGCACGCCGTCGGCGCTGGCTAGCAGGCTAGGCGAGGATAAGGCTGGGCTTTTCCGTAGCGCGAGAGCGGGAGGAACGCGCCGCGCAAAAGGAACAAATACGCAAACCCAACGAAGGCAGGACTCGACGGAAAAGCTCAGGGTTGGCTCAGTACGGCCGGCATGGCGACCGGGGTGAAACACAGCTCCCTGCCTACAAGACTGCAAGCTGTCGGTCCAGCCAGCCGCATTTAAGCAATGAGTCGCAGCTGCGGGAGCACCCTCGAGTCACCGGCCAGGAGCCGCCCATCGCTCCGCGCTTCCATTGGCTGCCGACACCCAGCCGGCTCCCAGGGCACAGCCCCAAAGGCGGAGCCTTAGCAGCACCCCACCGGCGCCTTGTGTTGCGCTTAGCCAACTAGAAGGCAGGACGAGGGAAACCAATAAGCCTGTGTGGCCCCCGCTTGCTTGCCGGCTCTCTCGCTCCTAACTGTTCATCCCCTGCTGCGCACGGAAATGTGCTCATTTCCTTAGCGCTTGCTAACATCTGAGACGGGGGTGCTTGGTGACCCACGTTCTGCTGCTCAAAGGAATGCAAAAACAATTATAATAGAAGAAACGTACGGAGGCCTCTCATGTTTACAGTGATGGAACGAACACATGCTGCCTAAACAACGCGCTCCGATGTCAGGGAGGGCTGTATTGCTGAGAATGTCGGGATAGGACTGGGAAGATCCTGGCTAAAATCCTCACTCATGAAGCTAACTTGACCTTGGGAGCCCAGCAGAAAATGATGCTTCTTGGACTTCAGCTCCCATCATCCCTGACTTTGGTCCATGCTTGCTGGGGCTGATGGGAATCTGCATCCCAACAACATCTGGAGGGCTCCACATTGACTAGCCCTGGCCAGTGGCCTACCTAGGGTCCCTTGTGCCCTTGGCAAGGAGCTGCATATGCCTCCCCCCTCCCCCGAAAAAAAGAAACTTGATCCAACACAGAAGATTCAATGGCATATGCTCTCAGGTTAGGCTGCAATCTTAACCCCATTTACCTGGGACTAAATTCCACTGATGGGATGCGGGTGGCTTATGGGACGCAGGTGGTGCTGTGGGTTAAACCACAGAGCTAGGACTTGCTGATCAGAAGGTCGGTAGTTCGAATCCCCGCGACGGGGTGAGCTCCCATTACTCGGTCCCTGCTCCTGCTAACCTAGCAGTTCGAAAGCACGTCAAAGTGCAAGTAGATAAATAGGTACCACTCCAGCGGGAAGGTAAACAGCGTTTCCGTGTGCTGCTCTGGTTCGCCAGAAACAGCTTAGTCATGCTGGCCACATGACCCGGAAGCTGTACGCCAGCTCCCTCGGCCAATAAAGCGAGATGAGCGCCACAACCCCAGAGTCGGCCACGACTGGACCTAATAGTCAGGGGTCCCTTTACCTTTAAATGCCACTGAAATTTACTTCTGAGATTTGGTTAGGATTTTACTGTTAGCATGGATAAGATTGTGCTGCAGAGTTGTCATCTTTAAACATGCTTATCCATAGGTGAATCCAATGTGAATTCTGTTGGGTTTGGTATATAATTTTAGGTTTGCTGTTTTAATCTGGTCTAGAAGTAGAAACTAACTAAATGGAATATAACTGGTTGGCATCTGTCTGTCTTGGGCAACAATGGAGGAGTGCACCTTTGGGTGTGAAGTCAAAAGGTTGCAGTGCTATGGCTGTAGAGACTGATGCAGGAGAGACATGTTTTGTTGCAGCTGGGGCAGATGAATATAATTAATTGTGCAGTATTCATAAGATAATCAGAAACAATAATAAGACCATGGGCAAGTCGTTCTCAGTTCTAACTGAATAAGGTCAACCTCAAAGATAGATGAAAATCCCCAGGTTTTCCCTGCTCCTACAGAAGGAGACAGCCGTCTTCCACAAATTATGCTTGATGGTAAACAGGGTTTTTGTTCTCCTGGCATGTTAAAGGGTGCGTGAAGTTTTTCAGCTGTGACTCTGTTGTCATCCTTGGAGAATTCCAGAGCAGAAGACCAGGTGAAACCAGAAGCTCTCCTGCTTGTGGCAGAACTGCTAAAGAGGTTGGCGCCTGCTTCGGCAAAGCAGCATCTTACTATGCTAGTGAGGATGACAGTTAGAATGAAGCTGCTGCTGCTGCTACTACTATACAAAGCTTAGGCTCAGTTGTTTCTTGCTGAAGCGATCTTAGAATTCTGCCAAGCCTTAGATCAGTGGTCACATTATACGTGGTGCCCACAATACGTTGCTCTGGATTGCAAATGTGCCTTTGGATCCCAAAAAGTGTTGACCACCACCTGGGCTACAGAAATGATATTGGCAATATTATGGCTGTTATTTGTTTATCATTTCTATCAGCCTTCCCTTTTGTTTACAAAGTGCTTTATGCAATTTTTATATCTTTCATATCCTCTTCAGTCTGCAGGCTGATGCCCTGTTCTTGGGGATTCAGCAACTGTACCCATTTAGTAAATAGCTTGCACTGCAACTCCATGCTCAGAACTAGGGGCCCCCTCCAGTCATCCTTTTTGTTTCATTTTCCTGTGCGCTGCCCTGCCCTTCCCTTGAGCACAATGGAAAGGAAGCAGACAACCAGTTAGTTTCACACCACAAGTTTGAGATCCCCCAAAGTTGTGCACTCAGTCCTTTCTTTGTTCCGCCACCCCACTCCCTAAAGGGGCCACACACTACCCAGATCTATGATCCTTGCCCATCACCTTAGGATATGGTTGTGAGCAGGTAGAAGAGCAGGGACTCTCCCAACCCAGACTGCCTGTAACCCAGGAGTGCCAAGCAACTGTGTGATTTTTGTGGAGTGTGTGTGCTGCCTGTTGGGGTGGGGGTGGGGGGCAACTTGGCCAGCGCCCCCAGGTACACCTCTGCCTAGGCCAGTCAATCTCTCTCTTAAGTAGGGTTGTTGCGAGGGTATAAATGAGGGGTTGGTGATAAAGGAGTCCATGGACACTGCCTTAAGCTCCTTATTGGAAAGGCTGGATAGACAGGTAATAAACCTTGACATCTGTATGACTTGCTGCTAGGAAAATAGAGATAGACACAAGCAGAAAATTCTACTCGTAGCAGACTCTTATTCACTCACATTTCCCAGGACTGGCCTTTAAAGTAGGTATTAGGGCTAAAGCATGTGGAAGAATTGAAAAATAACTTCATCCAATGGCAAATATACAGTCAGGTGTGTTTCAGTAGCAATGGCACGCACATATATACACACATTTACAATACTCCATGCTTTAGCAGAGCTCTAACCTCTCATTACTGGGGTATTTAATTAATTATAAAAGGATACGCTCAATTAATTTTGCGTGTGTGTGTGTGTGTGTATATATATATATGTGTGTGTATATATATATATATAAAAAATAAAAAGATGGTGAGCGGGTGGCGCTGTGGTCTAAACCACTGAGCCTCTTGGGCTTGCCAATTACAAGGTTGGCGGCTTTTCCCAGCTCCTGCCAACCTAGTAGTTCGAAATCACACCAGTGCAAGTAGATAAATAGGTACCGCTGTGGCGGGAAGGTAAACAGTGTTTCTGTGCGCTCTGGTTTCTGTCACGGTGTCCCACTGCACCAGAAGTGGTTTAGTCATGCTGGCGACATGACCTGGAAAGCTGTCTGTGGACAAATGCTGGCTCCCTTGGACTGAAAGCGAGATGAGCGCTGCACCCTATAGTCTCCTTTGGCTGGACTTTACCATCCAGGGGTCCTTGACCTTTACCTTTTACACACAAACACACACGGTTACAAAAATTGCAGCTGCTAGATACCTTCTTAGCAACAAAGCAAGTTATTAGACTGCAGTCACATAATCTCTGCATTGGCTGTTCTGTCTGTGGCTGATGGGAACTGGAGCCCCACATCTGGAAGGCAATTCCTGATCTAAAAGCAGAACTATTACTTTATTCAAATTAACATTTGTGAATCAGTTAATATCCATTATGATAGGAACATAGGAAGCTGCTTTACCATGGGGTCATCTAGCTCAGTATTGTCAATACTGCCTGACAGTAGCTGTCCATGATTTCAGGCAAGACTATCCCCCAGCCCTATCTAGAGTTGTCAGGGATGCAAAGCAAATTCTCTGCCACTGAGCTATGGCTCTTTCCAATGTCTCTGATCTATGGCCTGCTGACTGGGACTGATGAGAGTTGGAGCCCAACAATATCTAGAGGACTAGTTTCCCCATCCCAAGTTTAAAGACCAACATACATGAGCAGGGGTAGGCAGACTCCAAGTTTATGAGATCCTGTTGTTAATAGGACCCCGAAATCCACCCATAGGAACCATGTATTGAATGTTGGCTTGGGTGGTGCTCCTGGACATGCATTTAGAATAAAGAAAAGCACCGCCTGCTCATGTAGCAATTTGTTTTCACTACCAGAATCAAAACCTTGACTCCAGTCCTGGTTTTCCTCCAAAATTTGTTTCAGCAGCTTAATTGGGGGGGTGGGGCTGTTTATTGTTGCAATTGCTAAACCACTGGGCATCCCAAACCATTGCTGATCTCCTGCAAATCACTCAAGAGCTTCATCTATGTTCTGCCTGCATCTGTATTGTGGGACACTGCAGGGGTGGGAAAGATGTGGCTTTCCAGATGTTGCCTGACTCCAACTTCCAACATCCTTGAGTATCAGCTATGCTGGCTGGGGCTAATGGGAGCTGGGAGCCCCAGAAAATCTGGAGGGCCATAGTTTCCACGTCCCTGTCCTCGAGCTTCACATCCCTGAACATGTCACATTAATATGCCAGCATTCACAGACATCAAACCCATGCTTCCCTGTCCCCCCAGCCTCTGGAATACAAACAATATTCTGTGTCTCATACTGGGAATTTTTCCTGCACTGGAGAACAGACTTTGGCAACGTGTTCTCCAAAGGCATGGAGGTTTTTGAAAGGGTGGAGTGCCTCTTCAAGCCATGACTGATTGCCAAGTGGCAGCTGGACCCCACAGGCTGGACCCCATCTGGGACAATAAGAACCCCAGCTCACCATTTGTGACTGTCCTCTTCAACCAGTGTGTGGGCAAAGCCATACTCTGCCACTTCTACTTTGCTGACACCTGGATGATGTTCAGCAAAAATGTTCAGGAGAATCAGCCATCACCAACACACCACACCACATCCTCAGACTGGTCAATGAGAAGTGAGTGCTATCCTAATTCTTCTGTGTGTGGGGATTGATAGAGATGTGCCTTAAAAGGAATTATTATCCTCAGTGGGGCCATCAGAGTAATATGCACCAGAGCCAAGCTGGCTCTCCCTTTCAATGAATGAACCTTGTTACTAGGCACTATTGTGAATGATCTTAAGAGAATAAATGCCTACACCGTGTCGCCAACCATTTACTAAAATGTAACCATAAGGCACAAGTTGCCATCTTTTCTCTCCTTCTGAAAGCATAAAAAGAGGCTACTTGTGGGTGATCTTCTGCAGCATCTGTTGATTTTTCCAGCTTTGGAAACTGGGTTCATTTGGATTTCTCCAGCTTTGGAAATAGGAGCCCAGCATCTGGCCCAAACCTCCTGCCTTCAAAGGGAGACCTTTCGCCATAGTAGCGAGGAAGAAAGCTCAAGTTGCTTAGAGACCTTTCCGTGGGACTAACACCCAGCCTGGTGAGGATTTTATCAGCAGTGTTTGGGATCATTGGTTGCAGGAGGCTCCCATAAATCCGAAGGCATTCCAGAGTGACGTGCAGGATGGTGTCTTGCCACTGCTGCTCCTCAGGATCTTCACGACGTAGTTTCCAAGGCCTGTGCCTCTGAAGGAAGCCATTCGTCTGCCTCACGCAGTCCAGGATCGATTCTAAAGCTCTGTAGATCTGAAAGCGTTCGAAGCAGTCGCTCACATGAGCTGGCAGGTCTTTCACTGATGACACCAGTTTGTAGTCCTCAGCCATGGCTTTGCCTCTCCTATTATCCATGACCCGAGGGAAACATGCCTCTGAAAAGCCTGGGTAGCTTCCACTGGGGTTGAGGCTGGGGGCCGTGCACCGGTTAAGAAGACCCCCCAAGGCATCAGCCAACTCTGAATTGACCAAGTTGACAGCCTTCTCATCATAGTAGTCGCAGTCTCGCTCAGGGACACCCTGTCTCAGCAGGAAGTACCGAAAGCCATCCACTGAGTACCGCTGAAAACAGGCCTGAGGGTCTACCACATTGCCCAGAGTTTTAGACATCTTCTGCCCTTGAACTGTCCAGTGGGAGTGCACCAGGATTTTCTCTGGAGGCTCCAGCCCCACTGCCATGAGCAGGGCAGGCCAGTAGATGGCATGGAACTTGAGGATATCTTTGCCCACAATGTGGGTTGCACTGGGCCACCAGGTGTGGTGTGTGTCAGGATAACCCACAACGGTCAGGTAGTTCACCAGGGCATCGACCCAGACGTAAATGGTCTGCGTCGAGTCGTGGGGGACAGGGATGCCCCACTGCAGCCGCTTTCGGTCACGCGACACAGAGAGGTCAGGCAAGTCCTGCTCCAGCCAATGGAGCACCTGCTGGTGGAAAGGCTCAGGGGTTATGGTTGCCTTGCTTTCCTGGAGCCATCTCAGCAAAGGTTCCCGGAATTCGGACAGTTTGAACATGAAGTTCTCCTCTTTGGTCCAGTGCACCTGAGATGCAAGAGAGAAACTGGTCACAACCTTTTTTTTGCTGACTCCCCTACAAATAGTTATTCATTTGTTTATATTCATTGCATCTATGATGGAACACTTGGCCTTCCAGATATTGCTGGACTATTACTCCCATTGCCCTTTATAGTTCATACGTACAACTCCCATCAAGGGAGACGGGTGGCGCTGTGGGTTAAACCACAGAGCCTAGGACTTGCCAATCAGAAGGTCGGTGGTTTGAATCCCCGCCACAGGGTGAGCTCCCGTTGCTCAGTCCCTGCTCCTGCCAACATAGCAGTTCGAAAGCACGTCAAAGTGCAAGAAGATAAATAGGTACCGCTCTGGCGGGAAGGTAAACGGCGTTTCCGTGCGCTGCTCTGGTTCTCCAGAAGCAGCTTAGTCATACTGGCCACATGACCCGGAAGCTGTACGCCGGCTCCCTCGGCCAATAAAGCGAGATGAGCGCTGCAACCCCAGAGTCGGTCACGACTGGACCTAATGGTCAGGGGACCCTTTACCTTTACCTTACAACTCCCATCACCCCAAACTATGCTGACTGGGGCTGATGGGAATTAGAGTCCAACAACATCTGCAAGGCCAGAAGTTCCCCCACATCTGCATTACATTTATATTCCCCCCATGCTGAAATCCCAAGGGAGCAGAGAAGACTATTTAAGTATGCGACCATGGCTGTGCGGATGTTATTGGTCCAGAGATGGAAAGAAGATAAAGTCCCTACCAGAGAAGAATGGCAGATCAAGTTGATGGATTATGCTGAAATGGCCAAAACGACCAGAAGAATCAGAAATCAGGAAGACCGAAATTTTAATAAGGAGTGGGGAAAGATTATAATTTATTTTAAAAACCATTGTAAACAGTTAAAATCGTTAGTGGGATTAGAATATCACTTGTAGTTTAATGGTGAATTTTGGACACAATGGAGAGGTAAAAGATTTTGGATTATCATAAAAGATGCAGGAGGAAATGATTAACAAGAGAACCCACAAAGGGGAGGAGGGAAGTCCAAGAGATTCCTTGGAATCTTGTTTTTATGTTGTAAGTTGGACATGTGACTGTAAAATTCTAATTTGAAAAACCAAATAAATAAATAAATAAATAAATAAATAAATTTATATTCCCCCTTTATTTCATAGAGTTTAAGGCAGCATATATAGAGCTCCTAGGCAGCCTCCCACCCAGGAACTGACCACTCTCAAACCCCATGAGCACTATACATTTAAAGCAATATCCTGGCTTTGGTTTCCCCAAATAATTCTGAGAAATGTAGTTTGTTGGGTGTTGGTAACTGTAGCTCTGCAAAGGTAATGGGGGGCAGGTCTCATAAAAACTCTCAGCACCGTTACGAAACTACAGTTCGCAGGACATTTTACTGAAAGTATAGCACACATGAGTCCTCAGACTTGCTAGGCTCCAGAAAAATTGCTACACGATATTCCTTCATACCAGGACGGTTCAACACATGGCCCAAGGGCCACATGTCACCCATGAGGCCTTTTAGGTGGCCCTCAGCAACGTTTGACTCTCCCCAACCATGTAAGTAAGGCACTAGGCTTTGAAAAGGAGGCAAGAGGGTCCTCCTGCCTCCTTTCCAAAACCTTGTTCCTGCTTCTCCAGCTTCGGGAAGGAGGTGGTGCTGCTTAAGCCTCATGCCTCCTTGCCAAAAACCAGTACCTCATTTATCTGGCAGCATAAGGGGGGCATCACATTTTAGCATTCCAGTCCCCATGACAACACGGCATGCGGTTTGCTGGTTCTGTGTTGAAGTACTCTTGCAGCCCACTTAGTATGAAAAGTTGGACTGCCCTGCTTCAGTCAATAACCAGGAACCATTATTCATTTCCCCCCAGCATTTATACCATGCCTTTCTATAATAAAGCAGGCTCATTCACACAAACACCAACTATGCCCTCCAAAATGGATTAAGTATTAAACAATGTATAGAAATAAATCAAATCCCTCATATCATGCAGAAAATGTCCACCCAGAATTAAAGGCCAAATTGTTGTTTCTGCATAATCCAAGGCTGTGCATATGTTGCATTGTTTGGTGCCAAGAGAAACCAAATCCTATAACCTGCATAAATTGTGCAAATTAAGCAACCCTAATGTGTCTGCTTATGTTACACCAACAAGTCGAACCTGCAACAAAATGTTGCAGTGCTAAGTGTCTTGCTTGGAGTGTTCAAGGTCCCGGCCACACATTCTTTCTATCTTTCCAGGTTCCATTCCCCCTCCCACACAAAACTCCATCATCATTCTGTGCCTACTAAATTTGCTCAATCCTCACTTAGTTCCCATCCGTCACCTTTATAGCTTTTATTTCCTTAAGGTTTTTGTGTTTCTACAAGGTTCCTCTGAGCCTGCTGCTAATTCCTTCTTATGCAGTTTTGGTATTTCAGCAAAATTAAGATTCAGAGTCAGAGAACTTTCACTATTAATGTACAGGACTGATTTTTCTTTGCTTCTCATAGAATACAGAAACACAACTGTTAAGGGCTTCTTACTGGAAATCTTGCTCAGCCCCACTTGCTCACTTCTGAGATTGTGACAGGTATTACATATTAACTTTGCAAACTGAAGGACTAGAAACTTGCTTTTCAAATCCCCAGGAAATTCCCAGGATGCTGAATTTTCCACCAATTATCAAATTTCTATGCTTGTGCAGCATGACTGTGAAGCACACACATATTTGGCCTCATAAAGGTAAAGGTAAAGGGACCCCTGACCATTAGGTCCAGTCGTGACCGACTCTGGGGTTGCAGCGCTCATCTTGCTTTATTGGCTGAGGGAGCCGGTGTACAGCTTCTGGGTCATGTGGCCAGTATGACTAAGCCGCTTCTGGCGAACCAGAGCAGTGCACGGAAACGCCGTTTACCTTCCCGCCGGAGCAGTACCTATTTATCTACTTGCACTTTGACGTGCTTTCGAACTGCTAGGTTGGCAGGAGCAGGAGCCGAGCAACGGGAGCTCACCCCGTCACGGGGATTCGAACCGCCGACCTTCTGATCGGCAAGTCCTAGGCTCTGTGGTTTAACCCACAGCACCACCCGCGTCCCTTATTTGGTCTCATACGTGACTTAATTGCTCAGTCATTTCTGCTATAATTCCACCTGTAAAAAAGCATGAGATTGTGTGTACCAATGTTGCAAGAGACATTTGCATTTTCCCAATGCCCCTTCCTATGCCAGAGACACATTATAGAAAAAGGAGCCAAATTTCTAAGCCATGACTCATATAGCAACCTCTTCTCATCATTCAGCCTCCCTCACTCACACAGAAGGTTTGTGTGCTTGCAATTGAATGGCTGGACAGAAGCACTTCTGGAGCGATTTTGCAGCATTGCTTGGTGACACTACGTAACCTCGTGCTGTCTGCAGTCATTTAGGAATCAGCCATGCAGTAAAGTCAATGTGACTGTGTTCTTGCTACTGCATGAAAAGGAAGGGGCAGAGGAGGATTTCTTAGCAGGATAAAAAGAGGTAGGTCTTCAAATATAATAATCAAAGGTTGGAGGGGGAAAAAAATCAAAGCAATGACTATGGACTTGAGATTTCACATCAGTCTGCCAATGTGCTCATCAGAGGCCTTCCTCTAACATCAAAGTGAGGGGGGTGAGGAATGGAGAGAGGGGCTGTGTACCCAACATACATTTCAAGCACATTTAAATCACACCTGTGCCCCAAATAAGAATCCTCAGAACTGTAGTTTATCCCTCACAGAGCTATAGTTCCCAGCACCCTTAATAAATGACAGTTCTCAGGATTGTAGGGGAAAAGCAGGTGTTTAAATGTATGGTGTGAATGTAGCCAGGGTCTTCTCACTTTGTGACATACCATGTGTCTCTGAAATGCTCTACTAAAGGAGGGCCACCTGATACCTACTTTGCTAACTTTTCAGCACCATGGAAATATATTTCTTTAACACCCACCCACCAGCTTCTAACTCTGAAAACTGAAACAATTTAATTGTTTACAGTTGCTAATCCACTGCTCTCAATCTTCCTTTAAATTTTTTAATAGTATTTGTTTTATTCTTATGTGACTCAACCTGGGAATATTTATGGTGAATAAATAATTAAATTTCAGAAGTATCACTGAAGCCTTTCTTGCTTAAAGCCAAGGCAGAGGTAAGATGAAAAGTGTTTCTAAAATATAACTGCATCTGTGTGCTTCCTATTTGCCCCAAACGCTTGTTGAGATGTGTTGCATGAGATCATAGGGGCCATCCTAAAGCAGACTCTGCTGCAAATCCCAAAAGATACTTCCCCGAGTGATGGAACCCTACAAAACAGGGCTTCCCTATCAGAACTGAAAAGACACAGAGGGGAACTCATACAGAGGGGCTTATCATTACCTGGTGGCCACTCTCAAGCGAGACCATGTGCCTGTTGCCATGAGCATCAGGACGCTCAGTGACCTGGGAAGCAGCCAAGAAGGTTTCTTCAGCAGTACAGTACCAGCCTTCATAGTGGGCCTGGTAGAGCCAGCCCTGGTCCTGCAGAGAAGCCCAGAAGTGCTCTACAGCCCGTTTGTGCCGAGGTTCTGTGGTACGGATGAAGTCTGTATAAGAGATGCCCGCCTGGTTGAAGAGTTCCTGAAACTTAGCTGACATACAGTCACAGAACGGTTCAGGGGAACTTCCTGAAGCTGCTGCTGTCATCTGGATCTTCAGACCATGTTCATCAGTTCCTGTGCAGAGAAATAGGAGAGTGCAAAGAATTAAGAATCCAACAGACCTGGTATCTGTGGGCCTCCAGATGTTGTTGGGCTACAACTCTCATCATCCCCAGGCAGCCTGACCAATGATCAAGGAGATGGGAACTGCAGCTAACCAACATCTGGGTAGCCAAGGTTGGAAGGCTGCACTAGACAGACTTCTAATGTGATCCAGCTGATCTGATGTTCTTAGGGCTGGAAAAATGGAGAAAACTGGTTATATTAAAGGAAAAAGACCCCCCCCCCAATATGTTGTTGGACTAGAGCATCCATCTATCATCACTGCTGGCAATTCTGGCTGAGACTAATGAGAGCTGCAGCCCAAGAGCATCTGGCAGCTAGGTGGGTGGGTAAGGAGTGTGTCACAGCTGTTGCTGCCACTGCAGCAGTAGGTGATGCATTACTGTCTGTGAGGCCGGATCTGCTGCCCCTGTGGATCCTGCCCACAAAGCGACTGCCTCACCTTCCCTCGCGAGTTGGCTGGTTCCGCACACTTGCATGCACACGTGCTTCATTGAAACTCCCATCTCCCCGCAGAAAAGATTGTGAGTTTGAGGGACTGTCTTCTCCGCACAAGGGAGACGAACACGACGACGACAACAACAACAGCCGCTTTAAAGAACGCTCAAGGAAAAGCCTCCACCGATCAGCAGCATCTAGCAGCCTTTGACACGAGAAGAAAACCCACCACCCATTCACACAACCCCCTCTGCCAGTCCTCTCACTGACCCGTGGTAAAGCGCCCTCTTCCGCGGCCCTGCAGCTCCCGGTGCCGGTGCAGCGCATCAGCTAGCAGCGCAGAGTACAGGTGCCCGATGTGCGGCGGGCCGTTCACGTAGAAGATGGGCGTGGTGAGCAGCAGCGGCCGGCCGCTCCGGTCCGAGGCGTGGCAGCCTCTCCGCGAGCCCTGCCCGGGGAGGAGAGCAGCGCGGAGCAGGCGGCGCGCGGCAAGGGAGCGGAGCAGCAGCATGACCGCCGCACGTCGGGAGGACAAGGAGGCCACGCCCCTCCCCAGGCGCTCCTCCCCCTGGCCGTAGAGTCACAGCGCCCCCGTTCCTAGAGCGGCAAGGCGCGCTGACAGGGAACACGCGTGCGCAGGGAGACCGGCGTTCCGCGGGCGTCTTTCTGTCAGTAGAGGTGGAGACCGGGATCGGACCTGAATCGGGTCGGTGCCCGTTGCCGCCGCCATCATGTTCCGCTGCCGCGTGGCTACCAGGCTAGTGCGGGCGCTGGGCCCAAGGTCACGGGGCCGTGCGGGGACAGGTGAGCGGGGGTTTCGCCGGCGTGGCCTGAAAGGGGAAGGCAGGGCAGGCGGGGGGGTGGGGGTGCGAATCTCCAGAAGGTCTTTCCAGAAGTCCCTCAGTCTCCCCTTCGGAGAAATGGGTTCAGTGCTTCCTTTGCTGCAGTGCGATTGACATAAATGACGTGTCTTTGTTTTTAGGGTACATTAAACACACGCAACCCCCCCCCCCGCTAATTCTGAACGTAGGTAACATGTTCACAACTTCTAGTTACGAAATTGCTTCATTCGTTCCAGATGCCCACATAAGGAAATCAGTTCCACCTGCTTTGATTCTCGGGGTGGGGGTGGGCCAAGGAGAGCTATTTAGGATGGAGTTGCCAGCTAACCAAAAACAAAGAAAAACCCCGAGGTACCGCATAATACACAAAGGCAATGCGAAACTGACGCTTTATTCCAAGGAAGTTTATGGGTCGTTATGACGTTATGACGCAAAGGTTGATGTGCATGCCAAGTCTCCCCTAAAGCTCTTCAAGGAAGAAAAAAACAAGGACCAACGTAATATTCCCAAGCAGGTCTACCTGGAAGTTATCCTTGCTGATTTCAGTGGGGCTTATTAATTAAGTAATAAGCATGTGTAAAGTACAGATATGTAGCTACCCATTCCACTCCCGGAGGGACGCTCCATTGTCTCTTGAGATAGATGGATGCCAACAACAACAATTCCAGATCTTTCCAAGTGAATGGAACTCACTTTTCTATCCTAAAGGTAGAGTTATTGGTCTTGCAACCAATTATTACTGTTGTTTCATCCTTTGCTTATGTCCTAAAAAGCCTTAGTTGGCACCCATATGTCAATAGCCTACATTTTTGGAGAACATTTATTTATTTATTTATTTATTTTCAAATTGGTTAGGATGGTATTAAGAAGCCACAGAAGAGAATTTGGTAAACCTAAATGGGCAAATATCAAAGTACAGTGCCTAGAGTCAACAAACCCTCCTGGTGTTGGTTAATCAAATGAAAGATTTCAAGAAGAGCCCAGCACTTGACGTGTTCATACATCTAACTAATTGGTCAGTGTAGATATTTGGCTGTTGAATTCCTAAAATGATCTCATTTCTGAAATCAAGAACGTAAGCCTATATTTCTCCCTGGTCAATTATAAATGTGTTTGCTTGGAAATAAGTCTCAAATCATTTTGGTGCAACTTCCCTGTTGATCGTTGAGGAATGGAAAGTGTGTTAGTTGTAGCTTCTTCTGTTTTCAAGTAAAATGCGGTTATAGTAATGAAGAAAGAAGTGAATGGGGATGCTGGAATATTTAAAGCTTAGCTCTCTGCATCTCTAACAAGTCTGATTCTGTACACATTAATGGTGCTTAAAGTGAATGATTCCAGTGAGCTTAGGAATACCTTAGCTCTGCATAGACTTGGGCTGCAAGACTCATGTGACTAAATTGTAGTAGGCATGATGGGGAAAACAGACTCCCATTAACTTAACCTTTACTATGTCATTGAAGGTGTCAAATCACAACTGAAGCAGTCTTGTATTGGATCAGGAATTCCACATAGGCAAGTTAGCAAGCTGATGAAGGAGGGACAGAGTGCTCTCTGCCACTCTTTCACATGTTTGCTGCACTTTTAAGCCTCCTTTAAACAAACAAACCAGTCTGTTTTTCACTCACAAGAGCAATGTCCCTTATGAGTACAAAGCAGGTAAGTAAAAATTATTGCAGGTTTGTAATGCTAGGGGACTTAGTAACAGGGAGAAGTTAATGGGTGCTTATGAACAGTTACTCTTGATTTTGGAAATCAGTCCACTTGCCTGTGGACAGGAATGGAATGCCAAGTTGTCAATCAATGCTTTTAGTCAGTGTTAAACTTAGTTCTTGGCTGTGGCCTCAAAGCTTGCTATGGTTCTAAGTTGTGGCCTCAGAGTTGCCAATGATGTAGATTACTATTGGTACCTTTGAGTGTATTCTGCTGAACCCAGTTGCCAACTGAATTAGACCAAGAACCGTTGCACACTTGCCTGGGAGGAAGTATCACTGAGTGTGGCTAATATACATGTATAGGATTGCATATGCTAGGTATAAGATTGAAACAAAAAGTTTTCAGCAAGCATCTAAAAGATTATAGTGTTGGTGCCTGCCTAATAGCAATAGGCAGGGAGTTTCAAAGTACAGGTGCTTCCTAACAAACCATGATTGCTAGCCAACCTGAAGGCATGGCTTGGAGATCATGGCCTCTTAGGGAGCTACAAACCATGATTCTTGGTTCAGACATAACAGGGAACCAAGGTTTCGTGCTTTGCTTATCCTGTTTGCCCCGGGGAAGACTAAAGTGGGAGTGATGGGACAGCATGTGTACCAGCCTATTTCACATTCACAATAAACCATGATAAGCCAGAATATCTATTATGTGGCTCTTGTCTCTCAACTTAACTTTAATCGCAAAGTGATTGTGAATGAATATAGAGATGGGGGGGAGGGGAGGAACTTTGTTGTGAGCCACCTTGAGCCCCTTATTTTAAATCCGAGGCCCACCTTTGTGCTTTGCATTAGAGGGTAAACAGCTCAATTTTTATCTTTTGGGATGTCTCAGTGAAATAATTTTAGTACCAATGTAGCACTGGCTGTGAAACAAGTAGATTGCTCGACTGTCAATTTATAACCTAGCTAGTGTATTAAGGTACACTGTTGACTATTCTCCCTCCTAACAAATTGTGTTTCCAGGCAACTTCTTTCAGCGATGGAAAGTTCCCTTAGAAGTTCAGCTGAGCAGACAAGTGACTAGTTCTGGTGTTCCGGGAGGCAAAGGCGAAAATACTGTCTTTGCCTTTCTTGTGGGCTTATCCGCCTTAGGAGCAGGGGCCTATGTAAGTAGAAAGGCCTGATGGTCAAGAAAAGAGCAAGATGTCTCCTGCTACACGGTGGTCATTTCTCTTCTAAGCTCTCCTTTGGTTTCTGCTCTTCATGCTTCTCATCTCTGTTCCTGTGCTTCTCTTCTCCGTTAGCAAAATCTCACAGGAGCAAAGTTAAGCCTGGCTCAAAAGTTAACCTTTTCTCTCATTGTTTCAGTTATCTCACCAGAAGGGCAAACACTATAAATCCACAAACAAATGGCTACTTTGTCTGCTATACAGTGGTACCTTGGTTCTTGAACTTAATCCATTCTGGAAGTCCGTTCGACTTCTAAAATGTTTGCAAACCAAGGCACGGCTTCTAATCTGGGGCTGATTGGCGCCAGAAACAATGCCAACAGCTGAAACAGATGTTCAGCTTCCAGGAAACATTCGCAAACTGGCACACTTGTGGGTTTGCAGTGTTTGGGAGCCAAGCCATTCGGGAACCAAGGTACTACTTTATTGAGTTTGTACAGAAACTAGATTGAAATTCTATGTTTATTCTTACTGGTTGGAAGAATTCTGATATTTTTCGTAAAGGAGAGATTTTTTTTTAGCAATTATTGCATCATATACTGAGCTTGTCCCTAAACACAGGCTGATACACTTGCTTAGCTTGAGAGTTCTGTTTATTGCTGCTTTCCAGACACATTGTAGAATGCTGTAAATGCCATAGCTTATGACATTAGCAGTAGACAAAGCCATTGTTTTAGTCTCCCAGGAAACTTGCAGATTTGGTATTCTGGTATTCCTGGAGACTGGGTATATGCAAATTTGGTTTAAGGATTTTCCTCCCACGATACCCTTTTTTCAAAAGAAGGTCAGCTATGAATTATTGTTTAAAATCAGACTCTTAAATAGCAGGACTTAACCGAGGGTAAAAAAGGAACATTGGCTTCGTTCTTAAATTATGGTTTGGTCACCAGGATCAGACCTCAGACTTGTTGCACTCCTTGCACACTCTGATTCCCTTCCTGGTTTGAGTATACCATGGGTGGCTGTTATGTTCAACTCTATCAAACTATGGTTTGCCTCCAAAACAGATTTGGAAATCCATTTCAAACCAAGATTCCAGGCCATCACTGGAAAACTTTGGGGAAAGACTGGGTACATGAGCCTGATGCGTGAACCTGATAGCAGAACAATTGGTTTGTCTGTTCTCTGAGAATCGAACCCCTGAGTCTTTAAGCAGTCGGGATCTGCAGGATGCTTTGATTGCGTTTGTGCAACATGTTCTTAGTTCTTGGCTCATTTGTCTTGCTTTGATGTTGCTCTATCTCAGCAAGCTTTCCATGGCCCACTGGAGACCCTTTTAAAATAGAAAAGCTGCTATTATTCAGTGTCTCTTCTTCTTGCCCCCAATCCTGGTGAAATCCTGCATCAGCCACTGGCGCCACTACTGACCAGCTATTTTGGAGTCGTGCTGATTTGGGAGTAGCTGCCAGGAACTGTGGCACTAGGGAGAATGGGTGTAAGAAATATTTACCAGGTCAGACAAGTAGTTGATCTGTCCAGGGTCATTACCAAGTCAGTCTCTTACTAGTCTGGCTATTACCAGTCATCCATTGTCTCTTTGTTGAAACCCTTTTACTAGGAAAGCTTTTGCGTTGGACTTTGCCTATATAAAGCATAGCTTACAATTAAAGCATTAGGTATTCTAAACAACAAAACAATATATAAAGATATTGTTCTAAGCAATATTTATTATACTAGCTACTTTTAACTTGAGGTTGCCAGTGGTCTCTGATCCCAGGGACTGGCCAACTCTAACTCTTCTTAGCTTGAGCACCTATGCAGCGTCAGATGCTTCCTAAACCATTCAGAGGATCTGCCCGTGGAACACACCAAAATCATTTTCTAAAGGGAAACTGCTGGGGACAGCCTAAAACACTCTTCAAAGGAGCTAATAACTGATGTTGTAAATGAAAAGAGGCCATTGAGCTGCCCATTGTTTTGGCAACTGAATGGTGACAATTTTCCAGGGTTTGGGGCTGAGATATCTCCCATGACCTACTTCCCGATACTTTTTTTAAAGTGTAGATGCCAGCAATTGAACTGGAGACTTGTGTATGCAAAGCACACACTCTACTCTTTGCATGTGCTTCCTCTTCTAAAAAAACAGTATAGGGTATGGGGTGGGCAGTTTGAAACCTGTTTTGGTGGAGACATGGATAAATCTAGTGCATTGTGCAAATGTACAGTTACTTGCCACCTTAAGACATTATGCTGGGTTCCTTGAACAGAGAGATGTGAATAATCTCAGAAAGCAACTAGATGGAGATTCAGAGTGTGCCTCTCATTTATTTTGAATGATAGGAAAGGACCTTTGGAATAGTGTGCACCTCTTGTGCAATGTTGCCACTTCATACATCGTCATCATCATGTCAAAATGTTTAGGACCCAATCCAAAGAAGCAGCAGAACCTTTGCAACTGCTGGTGGTAATGGGAAAGAATTGTGGCATCTGGGAGTAAGACAAACACCTGCTTTAGCATTCTCTTCTGCAGAATAATTTCATGAAATAGCAGATGTTATGTGCAGACCTCACCTTCTCACATGCCTCAGCTGCAGGAGGGGAAGGCAGTGGCTGTTCTTGAACAAGGCTGCTTCTTTTCATGGTCAAAGCTAAATCTACAATGAATCAGGGATGAAAAGAGTCCTTTTCTTTACTATAAATGAACACCTTCTGTCTTTTAGCATACTGGTTTTGACACAGCCCTTGCTCACCCCAAGATCTGTATAATCCAGTGTCCTAATTTCATACTCAGAGCTCTCTGCTTCCTTTCCCTCTTCTCTTTCCTCCCTGTCTCCTTTTACAGTTTTGCAGTGCCTGCATCTCAGACCCCCTTCTAGATCGCTAACGTCTACAGGTGCTCCTGGCAAGGGCAGCAGCAACCTAATGTACTTCTTAATTGTAGGAGGAGCAGTTACGGGGGCAGGCGCTTATGTAAGCTGCTTTCCATTGAGTTTGGTTGCCGGGGCTGGTGGGTGGTGCATGACATAACTGAAGCTTGCCATTTCATGCTGGCAGTCTTAAATGTTCACAACCTAATCTTTCTATAAAATAGAGCTTTACTGCAGCCTTCTCCAACCTGGTGCTCTCTAGTTGTTGTTGCACTACAACTCCCATCAGCACTGACCTTCAGCCATGTTGGCTTGGCCTAGTGGGAGTCCAAATAAACATGTAGAGAGTGCCAGGATGGAGAAGGCTGACTTTGGAGTTCATGCTTCTGGTTGTGGTAAATCAAATGCTTGTCTTTGCTCCTGCTGTCTTTGAAGGCTCAGCTTCTTTGTTGATGGATGTTGATTCTCTCTCTGTCTATCTCTCTCTCTCAGTCTCTCCATCATTATTCTTTTATCTTACATAATTTTGTACCTGTTTAAGAAGAACCTTGCACACTTTTTCATTTTTAGCAATTGCTAACTTTCCTTTCTCCCCCACGTCTTCTCCCTCATATTTGTGTGATTTTTGCTTCTTGCTAATAGATGCTTTAATTCACTTTTTGCATGGAGTTGGGGTGTCTTGTTACTTTTTCAGACCCCCTTTGGGAAAGTATACATGGTTTTATTTATTTACTTTTTGTTGAGAGGGGAAGAAATAGTCCACAGGCACACTTTGAGCCAACTTATTTCTCAGCAATATAACTCCAGTCAGCAGCGACTTTCACTAGAGACAACATTTGAGTACGACTAGCCTGCTGAGACTTATCTAGCCTCTCAAGACCACAGCCACTGCTTCCCCCATCCCACAGCTGTCTTGCCCCTGCATAGATGGTGCCTTAAGAGAGCAACATTTGGATTTGGCCCCTGAGCCCAGTAGCTGCTGATCCATGGATCAGATTTTCCAGTTGTCCGCACCTTTATATGTTTGCTGAATCTAAGCCTGGACAGTCCTCTGTAGCAACCTTCACTTGGAGTTGCAGAAATTCTCTCCCCTCTGCAAAAGGGGACTCTCAAATTACCCCTAGCTTTTCAAGCCCACAATCTTTGTATAAAATGTGTTCCCACTGCCCTCCCCTGGGGAGGCAGACACTTCCCTTTTTTTGCTTTACTTCCTTGGAATGAAGCCACTTTTCCTGAGTGTGCCGGGTGGACAAAAGCCAATTGCTCAGCTAACAGTAAATGCAAAGATAAATCAAATGTATGTCAAAATTGTCACCTGTTTGGTTGTCTAGGCGTACAAGACATTAAGAGAAGATCAAAAGCGGTATAATGAGCGCATTGCAACAATAGATCAGCGCCCCGAGCAGGATGCAAAAGCCCTGTCAGGTATGTATCTAGCTTTATCAGGATTGCCTCAACCTTTAGAAGAGGGATGTGTAACACCTCCAGATGTTGTTGAGCTCAAGCTCTCATCACTCCTGACAGCTGTCCATGCTGGCTGGGGCTGATAGGAGACAAAGCAGGTCCCTGATATAAAATGTTGGTTTGCAAGCTGGGATCTGCAAAGAAGAGAGTTCAAATAAGGATCACTGTTTTAAAAGGTTTTACCATCATGTAAGGAAACGGAGCTGTCAACAGAGGGAAAATAGGCCTTTAGCAGTAAGATTCTGAGCAAATACGACCCTATCCTGTTAGCTGTAGCAGACATTCCCATCAAATTAGCATGTTGGCCTGATCTGTGTGTGATGTGAAGTTGCATTCTGCTTACCTGCGCAGGGCAGCTTTCCAAATTGCATCTCCTCTCTTTCCAGAAGCAGATGCTGCCTCCCAGAGCACAGCAGGTGAGAGAGTGCTTCAAGACAGACAGACTTTGTATCCTTCCCACCACCACCAAAGTATATTTGAATAGTGTTATTTTTACAATGTGTGCTGGTTCAGAAATAAATGCTGCAGTGGAGGCTGTGATGGAGCGGCTGTCCACTCTTCTGTTTTGGATTATAGGGAAGGAAGAGACGTTTTTGGGGTCTCCTAGGAAAGTTCTGTATTTTGCCCCTGTGCTTGGGCTTGTGATCCTGGTGTGGTTTTGATGCTACTGTGAATACAAGAAGCTGCTTTCTACAGAGTCAGAGCAGTGACCTGTCTAGCTTAGTATTATCTCCTGCCCTCCAGGGTTTCCTGTCCCTACATGGTGATGTCAAGGAAATTAATCTGGATTTAAGCTTTAGGCTGACCCTGTTTGTCTCTTTGGAGTGACCACCATTGTTTTGAAGGGTTTGCTAAGTTGTAGTAAAGCTTACAACAGGAGCAGAGCACCTGTGCCCCTCCAGGTGTTGCTGCAATTCACATCACACCTGACAGTTGTTTGTGTCAATAGGTGGTTTTAAGTAAGCTACTGTCCTCTCAGCTTCAGCCCCTCATTTCCAATCTGTGGGTGGCACTATCGACTTACTTCATAGGGGTGTTCTGAGGATTACAACAATGAAAATATCAGATGCATTTTGAATACATGAAGTCACTATATTACACACTAATATTGTTTCTTTGGTATTAAAATTATTCTCAGGCAGAGAGATGAGACTTAGCTCTTTTCCCTTTCTGTTTCTTTTGGACGAGAGACCTTTTTCTGTTCGGCTGTACCTTTGTGGTTGCCTTCACTGTCCACTTGGTTATCTGTTGCTTGCAGCCCAAGAAACAGAAGCAGCCACTCGCTCAGAAGTTCCGTCCCATGCTCCTTTCCTACTAATTGGTGGAGGCACTGCTGCTTTTGCTGCAGCCAGATCCATCCGGGCTCGAGATCCTGGGGCCAAGGTAAGTGACAGAAGCACGGAGTTTGGCTGCAACATCAAATTTTATTGTACTTGTTGAGGTTCTTGAGGTAAATATTTCCACTGCCTCATGTCCAAGGTACTGATTGTGTCTGAAGACCCTGAACTTCCATATATGCGGCCCCCACTTTCCAAAGAACTGTGGTTTTCAGATGACCCAGATGTCCCAGAAACGCTGCGGTTCAAGCAATGGAATGGTAAACAGAGGAGGTGGGTTCCTTGTTCCTCCCTCACTACATATTCTCCCCAAATGTGCCAAAATGATAATCAATGTGAGTGTTTGAGACTTGGAATCCAAAGCAATGCCCTGGAAAGTATCTGCTGTTACCCAAATAGGTGCCTCATGTTCCTGCTTAGCAATGAGCTCTTTCCCAACTGAATAAATTTGGAGCAAAAAAGTTGGTTTCTTATCTGCAGGTTGGGGCGTTGGCTCCTAGACCTGCTCGTTGCCGGGATCCTTGCAAACAGTGATGGACCTCTTGGCACTTGGTCCAGCATGGCTCATTGTATGTCCTTGAGCAAGAGTGTATACTCAGGATTGCTCAACACAGATCAGTTACGGCTTAAGTATTGAGAGATTGTGAATTGCTTACTTTGTACCTTTAAAACATGGTGGTGGACCATGAAGATTCTGTGTTTTAAAAAAAGTATGAGGTCAACCCATCCCTGGCATGAAGGATCCTGGTATCTTTCCCAAGAATTGCTTTTGAGTTTTAAGTTTAATGTACAGTTTAGTATTTTTGTCCAATTTTGTTGACCAAAAGCTAAGGGCTCTTGAGGCAGCTTATGACCCATTGAATGATATAATAATCCAACAGTAAGCACAATAAAATTGGGCACCCTGTATAATAATAACCTGCAACAATAAAATAACAGCAGCAGCAGCCAGTCTTAAGCATCAAGTGTTGTTCCTAACTAAGATTTTACCTGCTTTTAAATATTCATCAAGGATTGACTTTCACTGGCCTCATGGGGCAGTGAATTCCACCCAGAGGGTATCACTACCCAGAAGTCCTAATCTTCAGCTGCCTAACTTGAGGAGAGTAGTGCAAGCACTTTGTTTTTTTTTTTATAATTGATATTTATTGAATTTTCAAAAAATAACAACAAAAATTTCCAAAAAAGAAAAAATTTAAGGATACAAAGAACAAAATTAGTGCATAAACAAAAAAGAAAAGAAAACCCAGCCGCAAGGAAAAAAAAAAGAAAAACAGAAAAACAAAAAGATAAAGTCCTTTACAATCTCTATTGACTTCCTTTCTAGACTTCCTCCTCCCCCCTCTTTTGTTTCTTAATTTTTAATTTTTACAGCAAATCCTTTCTGTTTTTCATAACAATCTGTCATTACGTTTCCTTATTCTATTTTCCCTCTTGTCATATAAAAACTTTAAGACTCATAGCTTATATTCAATATTTACCAAGTTCTTACATCATTACCTTTTTACGAATCATTTACCAATCCTTGCTTAAGTCATGTAATTTCATTCAACATCCTTCAAACATTTGTAAGCATTCCCAATATTAAAAAGTAAAAAAGAAAAAATAATAAGTCAAATTCAGTCCAGTCAGCTTCCAACCTCCCTTCCCCTGGACCCGGGATTGTCAGTCCTTTTAGCCTCGGTAATCCGGCTCCTTAACCTGGTTGTCTCGTATCCGAGGCCCTCAAGTCTCTTTCTTGCCCCTTTCGCCACTCTTGTTGATGATTCCTTTCCAGTCGTGGATGCTCCAGCAAGAAAATGCTTTTGACCCTTTGCAACAAGTCCATCCCAAACCCATTGCCCAAGCCAGACAGCAAATAATACCACTTCAAATTTCCACAAAGCTTGGAGACTTCAGCTACTTCAATCCTCTGATAGCCCATCACCAGACTCGGAAGGTCCAAATAACCATATGGAGGGGGGTCGATCCATCCCCCCATTTCCAAATCTGACCTCATTTCATCTTTCCGAATCTGGTTTGTCCCAAGTTCATTTATCAAGTTCAAAGGCTGATCTTGCCCGTCCAAAGGTCCCTCCATCTCTGAAGCTTCCGTCACTACAGCAGGTTCATATGCTTGTATAGCCTTTAACTGAATTTCATTTGTTTGCTGCTGTGCTCTGGTAACTTCCATCATCAAGGTCGTCTCCTGACGCATCTGGTCCAGCTGGGCACTTAGTTTTGAAAAACCTTCCAGGAACAATTGTTCAAGCCTTTGTACTAGCATTGTCCTTCAAGGTCAAAGAAAATTCTTTCCCACGAGAATAGTCCAATAGTCCTTCTCTTTTAATCTCTCTGCGTTGCAATTTCACTAAATTCCACTAGATGGAATTTTTTTTTTTTTTTTTTAAAGGAATAAAAGCAACAGCAACAATCTTTCTTTTTCCAGAAACACTTTATCCAAAATTCCCCCCTTCCAAATTCAAGAGGCAACAGTAGAATCAAAATGTTACCCTTCTTTTAACTAACTGTCGAGCTGGATAAACTTCAGAACGTCAATTCTGACAGCCCGCTCCTGGTTCAGGGCGGTGGAAAATTGCTTTATTTTAAACTCACTTCCGCAGGATTGAAAAGTCCAAATACAACCCCCTTTTTCTCCTGCAGTCAAAGGGGGGGTTCAGAAATCTTAGATGTTGAATTCTAGTTCTCTTAAAATTTAATTTTCAGGCTTTAGTGTATTTTGTCTTTGCTTTCTTCACATAACAAAAGAACGGGAGGCGACTTCCTGTTTAGACCTTCCCATTCCGAGTCCCAATTAAGTTCAATTTCAAGTCCAATATTATTTGTTTATTCACCAGTCTTAAAAGTGGTTCAGCTCTTCCAAGATCAGGTACTCACGGATAGATGTTTTAGATGCCAAATTGTCCAGGAAAATGGCAGCGCTCTCCAATAACGGCAGTGCGGCTTTGCTGCACGGAGGAAGCAGACGACTCACAGCACCACGCACCTCCACTCCGGAGCCCGTGACCGGGCTCCTGGACCCCGGGAGAGAGCGCTCTCGGTGCCCGCCGAGTCCCACGTCCACAGGCTTCTTCCGCCTGTGGTTTTTACGGGTCCCCGCTGCGCCGTAGCGGCAGGACCCAAGCCTCCGTGCAGCGGGTTCCCTTCAGTCCGAAGGGAATTCCGCCATTTTCCGGAGGCGCCACCCCGGAAGTCGAGTAGTGCAAGCACTTTGAAGCAGGGTCACCTCTGGAGATATTAAAACAGGAATAGGCAGTGTAGGGTCTTCCAGGCATTGTTGGACTACCAAAACCCACCAGCCCCAGGGCCAGTGGTCAGGGATGATGGGAGATGTCATCCAACAGCATCTGGAGGGGACCACATTGGCCACTACTGGGTTTGAGTATGTGGAGGTATGCATGGGAAGAAGCAAGTCTGAAGATAATGGCTACTTAAGAGTGGAGCATCACTTTCTCCCTTCTTATTTATCACCCCACTGCAGTATATACTTCCAGCCACCTTCGTTCTATGTATCTGCACATGACCTGCCTCACTTAGAGAATGGTGGAGTGGCCGTCCTCACTGGAAGGAAGGTTAGTGTAGCATTGATTACATCTGTTTCATCAGTATATCTGAAGGGATTTATATCCTCTCCTTTATTTCTTGAAACCAAAGCAGAATCATTAACAAACCCAATCAGTGTCAAAACTGAAAGAGATGCTGCTGTATATAAAACAGCATGACACCCAATTTTAGCAGGGGGCTGGCAGAAGGGTCGTAGCTCATTGGCGGAGTGCATATGTTGGCTGTGGAAGGTCACAGGTTCAGTCTCCGAGTCAGACTGGGAAAGACGTCTGTTGGAAATGGTAGAGAGCTTTTGCTGCCAGTCAGTGCACAGACAACGTGTATTTAGATAGATCAGTAGCCTGACTTGTACTAAGGTTGTTTCCTATGTTCCTAGGGAGGAGAAATGTTAAAAGGCTTGCAAAAATTAAAAAGGGCTTGCCTGGTGCCAGAAGATAAGAGTTGGCACCTGGCAATGGATAGTTTGTTCCATAGCAGTGGTTGCCTCCATTTCTCTTATTGTTAAATATTTTATTAAGGATTTTCTTGTTTTACAGAAGTAAGTGTACTGCCTCGTATATATATTTTTTTCATGTAACATTTTTACAAATCCATTTCATTTGTTGAGGCATTAGGGGGGAGAAGAAAAAAAAAAGGGAAAAAGAAAGGGGGGTGGAGAGAGGGAAGATGGATGGGGGTGGGGTCGGGTGGCGGTGTTTCTATTATGTTTAATGTATGTAGAGTTTGGTGTCAGCGTTGCTTGTGTTGTTCACTTGTGTTCCTTTGGTGGTGAGAGAGGTTGGGGTTGGCCTAGGGTGTGATTGTCTGCTTGTGATTGTCACCCAAGCCAGCGGAGCCCATAGGAGGTCCTCTCAAGATGATGTAGGCAGGATGAGGAACCTCAGGGGCAATGTTGGCCCTCCAAGCCTCTCTGCTTAGCCCCCCCACCTTAGGCGATGACTCATACCAGCCCTTCTCTTTATCCTCCTTGTGTGTGTTTTCCTGGCTGGAATTCATCCTTGAACTGCAGTGATGCACCCTGTTTGCCTGAATGTAGAGATAGAGGGAATGGGAATCTTTGGCTTTTACATGGCTGAATGAAGCCAGCTGTACAGAAGTAAGAGTTAGAACCATTTCTCTGCCCACTTTGCCTCTGGCCCCACACACCACTGGCAAGCAAAGGTTATCTGTTAGGGCAGCTCTTCCCAGCCTTAGGTCCCTAGACATTGTTGGACTGCAACTCCCATCATCCCTAGCTGGCAGGACTGGTGGTCAGGGATAATGGGAGTTGTACTCCCAACAACATCTGGGGACCCAAGGTTGAGAAAGGCTGCATTAGGGAATGCTGCTCAGGTTCTGTGTGCTCACTCATTTCTGTGCGAAACATGAGCTTGTGTTTGACTTGCAGGTGGTCCACATGGACATCAGAGGCAACATAGTGAAACTTGACAACGGTTCAGAGATCTCCTACGACAAGTGCTTAATTGCCACAGGTTAGGATGTGGAGGCTGCTTCTTTTTCTCTTTCAGTCTACAGTGGGTGGACATTGGGTGTATTAGCCAAGATGCCAGAGGGCTCTGATATTCTGCCTAGATGTGATTTTGGTATTTCGTTTGTGTCCGCAGGTGGTTCTCCAAGGAATCTTCCTGTGATTGAGAGAGCAGGCAAAGAGGTGCATCAGAGGCTCACCCTTTTCCGGAAGGTAATCTGAAGAGGGGAACCATCTTTTGAGCAACAATTCATCCATCAGTTGCCATGATGAATTTATGCTTATTAATTGACTTGTTTTTAAGAAATTGTATTGAACTGAAAGCTTATTGATTCCCCCCTAAAAAGCATATTAAAAAACAAAGAAAAAATGCAAAGCAGACAAGCACTAGTGTTTCTTGAACATCTCAAGATCTGAAAGATATCAGAAAATCCCAGAGCAATTTCTCATTTTTCCCTTGTCTTCTTCCCCACTTCCCTGCCACCCCAAATTTATAACATTAGATGCAAGTGTCTTTTATGTGTTGTTTTTCCTGAGTGTGTAGAGAGAGAGGGAGAGAGTTTAATTTCTATCCTGCTTTCCTCACAAAGGAGCCCAGGGTGGCAGACAACAAAGTAGTTGGAACAGTGCAATTGATTTAAAATAAAAGTATTAAAAACATTGGAAACAATCACAAACATTTAAACATGTTAAGAACATTTTAAAAAATGTTAAAATGTGCAGCAAATGAAAAACATTTTTCTAGACTGTCATCCGCAAAGAACAGGATCTGTGCCCCATTTAATTTGGATTGAAATCTTGTCTATAACCAAGAGTTTTCATAGTTACCAAATCAACTAGTAAGGTAAAGGTACCCCTGACCGTTAGGTCCAGTTGCGGATGTCTCTTGGGTTGCGCACTCATCTCGCTCTATAGGCCAAGGGAGCCAGCGTTTGTCTGTAGACAGCTTCCGAGTCATGTGGCCAGCATGACTAAGCTGCTTCTGGCAAACCAGAGCAGCACACAGAAATGCTGTTTACCTTCCCGCCGGAGTGGTACCTATTTATCTACTTGCACTTTGACGTGCTTTCGAACTGCTAGGTGGGAGGAGCTGGGACCGAGCAACGGGAGCTCACCCCGTCATGGGGATTCGAACCGCCGACCTACTGATTGGCAAGCCCTAGGCTCTGTGGTTTAACCCACAGCGCCACCCGCGTCCCTAATCAACTAGTAACAAACAACAAATGCTTGGCTTTCCTTCAAACTGCTAGCTTAGCTTGCATTGACTTTCATTGTTTGATAATGTCTTCTCTTACTTTGCTTTATTGTGTTGATATTGTATCTGTTTTTGCTATGTTGCTTTTAGAAGGCTTCTTTAGAAGGAAAAAATGGGGTGTGGATATTGAACTGAAACAAATGGGGGGATTTGTCATTTTTGCACTGCTCAGTCACAATTTGGGTGAACTGCAGATTCTCACCTGTTGGTTATGGAAAGCCCACATCCCTGTCTTGTGTTACCTGTAGACCTCAAGCAATATCAAAAGAGAATGGGCTCCTAGGTCCTCTGCTCACCTTGTAGCTCGCTGGTCTCAGTGAGAAACTATAAACTAATAACTTTTCTGATTAATGTACTGAACAGGGACACCGTTACTAACACTGACTAAAGAGAACCACTGAAATGCTCCCCTGTCTCCTTGCAGGTTGAAGATTTCCGTTCACTGGAGAAAATTTCCAGAGAAGTCAAGTCAGTCACCATTATTGGCGGTGGTTTCCTGGGTAGTGAGTTAGCCTGTGCTTTGGGGCGAAGAGGTAAGCGTGACCTCTGATTAGTGAGAGTCTGCAAAGAGCAGGAGTTGAGAGTGTGATACCAGGGTATAAATAGCCACTGGATCATCAAGCTTATTTGGCTAAACCACTCTTACTCCCTGTTCAAACCTGCTGCTGTGGTGATGAACAAGGCAAGAATTTTAAAGTGCTCTGCCACGATGCAAGGACTTAAAAATGAGAATAGTGGAATAAACACAGTGAGTTGCCTTGCTCGGAATGAATCAGTCGGGTCTGGATTGTTTTCACTGCAATTAGGTCAGCTTGGCAGCATGTAAAATCTCACATGTTCAGCCCATGTTCAAATTTTTGCCTTTTGATTTACTTCTTGGAGTTGTTGTTGAGAGACACTCTCTCTTGAGAACTAGTAAGGTTAATTGTAGACTAGATGTGCTAAGTCTGTTGTCCTTTTAAAAAAATGACTGGCTTCTTAGCCCTCCATCCTCACTGCTGATGACTGGAGGTCTAGCTTATATCTTCCCAAGTTCTGAAACTGCACCAGAGGCTGCCCAGCCACTCCCCCCTCCCACAATTCTCTTCTGCAGTGATGAGGACTAGAATGTTGTTAATGTGGCTGTTCTCAGGATACTGAAGTTCTGTTCTCCTGCATGGGTGATTCTGGGAGCTTGGAGCACAACAGCCCTGCCTAAGTGGTGATGTGTACCAATTTCCCAGGAAGCCAAGCAGACAGACACCAGCCTTGAGGAGTTTCTCACTTTTGAGTGTGCAGAAGTCTGCTGGGCATAAAAGAAAGCAGGAGTACATGCATTTACTGGCTTTTGCTGTGACTAATCTTGTTCCCAGCCTCAGTCTTGTGCACAGGTGTTTAAATATTCATATGGCACCTCTTGGTCTTTTGCTCCCAAGGTATCTTACAATAAATCTGTCTCTCATTCATGCATGCACGCAGCATCAAGAAGCAACAGTATCAGAAAGCATCAGCACTGAAGATAAAAACGGGAGATAAAGCAATGGAAATGAACAACTGCAGTCTTCATACAAATTGTGAAAATTGTAAAATGATATTATCCCCCAAACAATCAGTGAATTCTATTGACTTGATGCCAAAAGCTAACACTGATGGTGCTGTTGGGGGAATTTTGGATTCCATACCCAATAGCCTAGACAGCCAATAGAACCCAGACACCAATTGTCAGTCAAACAGGATTTTTATTTAGGTGTTGCAAGGCCAATGCAACACAACCTGAACCAGCAAGTAGTTGAAGGGTGGCATCCCAAATTTGAAAAAAAGCACAAGCTTTTTTGTTATGTCCATATATGGCAGTACTTCTGCCAATTAGCTTCTACTGGTTTAATCGCAAACCATAACAACTTTCTTACCTTTTCCTCCTCGGTAAAGGTAAAGGTAAAAGGACCCCTGACCATTAGGTCCAGTCGTGGCCGACTCTGGGGTTGCGGCGCTCATCTCGCTTTATTGGCCGAGGGAGCCGGCGTACAACTTCTGGATCATGTGGCCAGCATGACTAAGCCGCTTCTGGCGAACCAGAGCAGCTCACGGAAACTCCGTTTACCTTCCCGCCGGAGCGGTACCTATTTATCTACTTGCACTTTGACGTGCTTTCGAACTGCTAGGTTGGCATGAGCAGGGACCGAGCAACGGGAGCTCACCCCGTCGCGGGGATTCAAACTGCTGACCTACTGATCGGCAAGTCCTAGGCTCTGTGGTTTAACCCACAGCGCCACCCGCGTCCCTTTCCTCCTCCTAGTTACAGCTATAGTCCTGTGTGCATGCGATTTAATCCTTCTCTCGTGGTTCCCTTGCAAACATAGCCTTCACTTGCTCAACCCTTCTCACACACAAAAACTTTTAATTTTATGGGCATGTCTGTGGAGGGTATTTCCTGCACTGGGTGCTAGCTCAGAAAAGACCCTTTTTCCAGGTCTCTTCCTGCTTACTCTGTGAAGGTGGGGACACCTGAAGGGCCTCTTAAATCACGGACAGGTTTAAATGGGAGAAATACAATCTTTCATGTACTCTGCTCCTAGGCCTTAGGGCTTAAACCAGCACTTTGAATTATGCCCTAAAACAAATTGTAGCTCACACTCTCCAATTCCCTTTGCAGCACAGTCAAGGGGCCTAGAAGTGATCCAGATGTTCCCAGAGAATGGCAACATGGGCAAAGTTCTTCCTGAGTACTTGAGCCACTGGACCACCAACAAAGTCAGGCGAGGTAAGGCCTTTCCTTTTCTGCCTTCATGCTGGAGCTGTTGAGAGCCTATCCTTAAGCACCCAGACGCATGTCAGCCTGGGCTGTAGACTGGCATGGTCTGATTTTGAGGCTGCAACAGCCTCTCAGCAGGAAGATTTGCATGAGAATTGTCTCTAAGCCATCTTTCTGTTCCACAGTCCTTGTGCAATGAGGCAGCTCTGCCGTTTGATCCTAGGAGGCATAGCTGAGGCTTGCCACCCCAGCATCCTTATCTCATGCCTGCAGTATGGCCATGGCACATTTTCCTAGCTGCTTATAGCATATCTGCCCTGCCGCTTACATCCAAAGCAGCCACCTAGCATCTGCATTCTGACTCCCTGTGCAATTGCTACTCTGCGTTTTCGCTCTTTGGACAGCCAGGTGTAGGCTCCTTCCTGCAGCTCGGGAGTGGGGAACTGCTGTTGTGCAGGCTGAATCCGGCTTGCAGCAGATTCGCACCCAGCTTCAGTTTCACCTCATCTCTCCCAGCAACTTGCAGGAATGAGGAGCGAGTGCTGTGTTCCTCTCCTGGTGAGCCGGTTCTGTTTCTGTGTTGGGCCATGAGAAAGAAAAATATTTTTTTTGAGGGGGAAGGGGGGGACTGGCAGAAACAGAATTAAAGCAAGTGTCTGCTGGTATTTAACTCCACCCCCCCCCCCCGGAGAGAATGTGGCCCTTGACTTAAAACGCTTCCCGACTTCTGTGCACCCTGCATTGCAACCCCTCCTTTGATCTCCCTGCTGTCAGCTATAACCATAGGCAAGATCCCTTTTTGTAAAATGCATCCCAGCCTGCCATGCCTCTGTAATTGCCCTGCCAAGTCTCTTTCTGCCTCAGCTATTAATGTTGCCCCTTAAGCAAAAGTTGGGATAGCTCAGTTGGCAGAGCATGAGACTCATAATCTCAGGGTCGTGCATTTGAGCTCCACGTTGGGCAAAAGATTCCTGCATTGCAGGAGGTTGGAGTTGATGACCCTCGTGGTCTCTTCCAGCTCTACAATTATATTATTCTAACCCCCCACCTTCTCTCTCTCTCTCTCTCTCTCTGCTGCATTGTAATGGTTGGTGGCACTCCTGTTCCATCCCTGCATGCTTAGTTTACGAAGCTCCTAAAGTTTGCACAGATTTATTAAAATGCCACAGTCCCTGCCTGCAGGCTGATGAGCCTAATAAATATGAAAGCACAAATGGAGTGGGGAAGAACAGGAAGTCAAGGCATGTAGAGGCACTCGCTCATAAAGTTAGCATTCATGCGCACACTTCCGGTATTGAAAGGAAAGGTGGCAGGCAGGAGTGCAGTGCTAGCAATTACAATGAGCATGGGGGAAGCAAATTGATCACTGGCTTTAAATTGAAGGTGTTGCGGCACCAGCACTGTTCCTTTTGCTGCCCTGGGGTGAGCTGGATGCCCTCCAGGTCTTGACCAACCCTGCTGCTGTGTCTTTTCTCTGTAGGGCAGCAAGGCAGTGTGCAACCTTCAGGCATTGCTAGGGTTGCCATATTTCAAAAAGTAAAAATCAGGACACCCCAAAAGTCGTTGAGCTTTTTTTAAAAGAAGATCCCAAAAGTTGTTGATCTGCCTAAGATCCAGGATGAAGCACCACATTTTGGAAATTCCCCCCATAGGTCAATTCCACCTTTGAAATCCCAGTAATGTCCGGAAAAATGCAGACATCTGGGAGCCCTAGCAATACTGTCTTTCTCCACTGCATCTCTCTGCCTCCTGCCATCAGGCAGTAGTTGTTTTCTGTGCTTTACTTGCAGAGGGAGTGAATGTGATGCCCAATGCCATTGTCAAGTCTGTATCTGTTGTTGGAAACCGGCTGCAAATAAGACTGAAGGATGGAAGGAAAGTGAGTACTGAGCAAGTGACAAGATGGATCACCTGCCTTTTCCATGTTCTGCCTCCACTGTCAGAGCCAGTACAGTGGTACCTCGGGTTAAGTACTTAATTCATTTCGGAGGTCTATTCTTAACCTGAAACTGTTCTTAACCTGAAGCACCACTTTAGCTAATGGGGCTTCCGGCTGCCACCACGCCGCCACTGCGCGATTTCTGTTCTCATCCTGAAGCAAAGTTCTTAACCCGAGGTACTATTTCTGGGTTAGCAGAGTCTGTAACCTGAAGCGTATGTAACCTGAAGCGTATGTAACCCAAGGTACCACTGGATAACACTTGTGAATATTGTTACTGGTAACCACAGGAGGGGAGAGTGCTATTGTGATCAGGTCCTGCTTCTTCTTATGTTTATGTGTGTCTGTCTGCGCACAGAAGGAGTGAATTGTGATCATAATATAATCCAACCCAACCCTCGGTTCCTGCTCCCTACTGAAACCAACTTAAGTCGGTGTAACTGAAGTAAATGCATAGTCTTTCCCCTCTCCACCCCAGTTAAGCTGACTCCTGTTTCACTCCTTTTCCTCTGCTTTCTCCTCTCTGTCAAATTTTGGACTGTAAGCACTTTGGGGCTAAGGCTTCTAAGTGTTGGCAGCCACATAGTACACAGGTAGTTTCAGAGGAATTAAAAAACGGTCTGCTTTTTCTGTTTTTTTCAGGTGGAGACCGATCACATTGTGGCAGCTGTGGGCCTGGAGCCCAATGTTGAACTGGCCAAGTCAGCTGGCCTGGAGGTGGACTCAGACTTTGGGGGCTTTAGGGTCAATGCAGAGCTCCAGGCCCGCTCCAATATCTGGGTGGTAAGTGTGTTTGTGTATGTATGGAGAGAGCGTCTGAATGGGCCTGAGTTGCTGGAGAGTTTATTGAATATAAAGATTTAGTACAGGCAACTCCCCACTTAATGCAGTGGTTATGTTCTGGGGCCCTGTGCACATGAGTGAAATTGCATAAAATGGGGAGCACCCCTAAACACCCTTCAAACACCTCTACCACTCTCTCTTCAATCCATACCAAAAAATACTGTATCCAAAAGTATCCATAACTGGAATTGAAGCTCTGGGGATAGCTGGAGGATGCGTGGGAAAGCAGTGCTGCTCCTGAGCTACCCCGCACGTCGGCTATTAGGCAAGGAGGCTGAGCAGCCAACACAAATCCTTGCTGTGCCTCTGGTCTTTTTGGGGCTTTCTCCACCCTCACTGAACGCTTCAGTGACTTTTGTCAGAGAGCCTCTCTCCCACCATTTCCAAGTTTGAATTGAACTGTTTAATTATTTCCCAGTACCACACACAAATTGATTACTCTTAAGGGGGGGTGGACACACACCTGTATAATAAGAGCATCAATTATTATTTCAAGTGCTTCCATACATGTAGCTTTCCAGGGCAAAGCTCTCCCAATGTGGTTTACAAAAGAGAACTAGCTTTACGTACACATCATGAACATTATGCTTACAAATGACCTGCAGAATGATCCACTTGCAATGCTTCCAGTTTAGCCCTCTCCACCCCCACCCCCCAATTATTTATCCATCACCCTGTGATCTATTTCACTGTGCCTGTTCATCAGTGGTTCCCCTGCCCTGTCTCTGCTTCTTTCTTTGGATGGTCCAGTGCCTCGGAACTTTGTTCTAAGGGTGGAAAGGTTTTGGAAGTTGAACAGCAGTCTGTTTTGGATATGGTTTCAACCAGTGTTTCCTAACCTGAAGACTTCCAGATGTTCTTGTACTACAACTCCTGTCATCCTTACTGGCTGGGGCCGATGGGAGATGGAGTCCTAACTATCTGGAGGTTGGAGAAGTCTGTTTTTAGACTGTCTTAATTTTCCTCCAAAACTCTTCACACCTGTATGCCAGACAGTAATTCAGCAGGTCATAGACCTGGGTGTAAGTACAATGGAGAGGTGGCTACAGCTGTTTCTCCCTTGAATGGTCTCAGCAATGGAAATTGGTTGCTGGAGGAAGTGGGGGAGACCAAGCTCTGTTTTTATCTAATCACAATGGAGGAGTGCCCAAATGCTGTTTTCTCTCCCTCTGGATGATGACAGTTGGAAGGAACATCCAAGCATGTTGCTTTTGAGGAGCAGGGGTTAAAGGAGAATGACATGCTTGTTGGCACGGAATCTAGTAATGTGCATGGGATGCTGATAAACTGTTCCCATTTAAAGCGAAGAAAGTTAAGCTTCTGGTCATCGTGACACAAATTTCCTACTCCCCAAAAGAAAATAGCTAAGGGTTCCTGACTGTGACTAGCAGCATATTCAGTGCTGAATATGGGACAGCTTCATTCCGCTCTAGTTTTAATCACTCTTCAAAAGCCCATTTCCTCTTTTTCCATCTCCACCAACGCTGCAAGCATTCTTAAAAAGAGTTTCAGGCCACCTTTCCCAGCTGGAGACCAACAATGGGCAGATTGAAGCCACAGTGGTGCTTTGAAGGACCTGATAAATCTCTTATTAATTTGACCTTTCTCTGCCCAGTCCTCACCCTTTGCACCTTTCCCAGGCAGGGGATGCTGCTTGCTTCTATGACATCAAGCTAGGCAGGCGGCGTGTGGAGCACCATGATCACGCTGTGGTGAGCGGAAGGCTGGCAGGAGAGAACATGACGGGAGCAGCAAAGCCATATTGGCACCAGTCCATGTTCTGGTAATGTGGATTCTCTTGTTCTGTCTAATTTTGCTCAGGTTGAACTGATCTTCCTGGACCTTTTCAATGTGCTGCATTTGCATCAACTTGGTGTAGCAAAGTTGTAGAATCTGCCTTTCATATTAACTTCACTCTGTTGGTTCATTTGGCCCAGTATTGTCTGCTCTTGATAGAAAGTGGCTCTCTGGGGTCTCTGGAAGAGGTATCTTCCCCCTGTGTTGGTGCCTGAGATCCTTGGTAGGAAATAGTGAATCTGGGGCTTTATGCACTAAGGACCATTGCTGGGGGTGTGGAAAAGCTGCCACAAAAAGCACAAGCTCTGTTACAGGAGCTAAACAGCCGTGTCACATCCTAAATGTTCATCTGAGATCTGATCTACACAAGCAGTAGAATAAGGTGGGGATAAGATGGTTAGGCTATAGATTGAGGTTGGTTTTTGAATGCTCCCTTAATATACAAAACAAACAAACAAAAACAAAAAACCTGCACCCAACAACCTACAAGAAGAAAGCAAGGAGAGGTTCTAACATTTCTTCCTGATATGCTTTCCCTTAATTCTTGGATACATTATTACTACTACTACTACTACTGCTACTACTACTACTACTATTATTATTATTATTATTATTATTCCTCACCCCTTGCAATATGAAATGGAATATTCCTTTCCTCATCTCAGAATTCCAGACATCTCCCCCAAGGCTCCTACCTCTGCTACATGCAGGAGTAGCCAACATGGCACGTCTCAGTTGTTGTTGGACTACAGTTTCCACCATCCTTAACTATTGGCCATGCTGGCTGCAGCTGATGGTGTTGGAATCCAACAGCATCTGGAGAGCACCACGTTAGAAGGGGCTGCTATAACGAAAAGCTGTACATATTCTGCCAAACTAGGATTTGGTGCGGTGGCCAGTGTCCTTGATGCTTCAGCTTTTATTTAAAATAAAGAGGAAAGTTCTAGTTCTTAGGGCATTAAAATGGTTGAGCAGAGTGCTCCAGGTTCAATCCAGCATTACCTGTTAAAGGATCTCAGGTAGCAGTTGATAGGGAAAGTCTGTTACAGTAGATCCTGGACAGCCACTACCAGTTACAGTGGACAGTTCTAGGCTTGGTGGACAGCAGTTGACCTGGATGAGGCAGCTTTGGATATCTGTTGGGTTTTCAGTGGATGGTACTTTTACCCCTGCCCCTTACTTCCCATGAGTTGTCTGTCTGTCTGTCTGTCTATCTGTGTGTCATCTATCTACCATAGAACTGGGAATCAAGGCAGCTCACAAAAATGAAAACAAACACGTATAAAACACATATGGCTAAAAACATGTTCACATGAGTAGAACAAATGCATCTAAAAACAACCAATGACATGCCACTCTACATAATACCTGTGACAGCATTTTGTTTTTCTTGTAATCCAAGAGTTATGCTCCAAAACATTGGTTGCTTTCAGCCCACATTATAAAAACATGGATGCAGTTGGGGTTTGTTTTTTTAGACATGCCAACCTTCCTGGGCTATAGTAAAGAGATTCAAGATACTGCAGAGCCTCTCTGTGTTCAGTCATTCTTTCTTTGTGCTTTGAGAATGCCAGTCACAACCTGCCTTGGATTTCTGAGCTAGCCCTTACTGTCTTTGCTTGGTTCTTTAGGAGTGATCTGGGCCCAGATGTTGGTTATGAAGCTATTGGTCTTGTGGACGGAAGCTTGCCCACTGTGGGAGTGTTTGCTAAAGCAACATCAAAGGACACCCCAAGATCAGCCACAGAGGAATCAGGTGAGACTTTGCTCCTTAACCATGCTATGCTTGGGGGCTTAGCTTCAGTTTTTCCACTGGTTGATTCATAAAAGAGTCATCTTGGGTTGGAGGAAGTGTTTGTTTCTTCTCATAGGGGTAGCTTTTTATTCTCCCTTGGAGTGAAACGCAACCTACTAAAGATTATCCCAGAAGTGGGCAATCCGTGCCCTTCTGTATCGGACTACAGTTCCCATCATCCCTGGCCATTAGCCATGCTGACATGGGCTGATGGGAGTTGTAGTCCATCATCATATGGCGGGCCACCGGTTGGGGGACCCTGGCATGCAAGGCAGGCAGGAGAGGAGAGGAGAGCCCAACAGGCTGTGCACAAGGCTAAGACCAAGTTTATTCTAGGAACTGGAATCCGCTCCGAGAGTGAAACGGAATTAGAAGCACCAGAGCTCAAGGTCTCGGCCGCCTCGCCTTCCAGCCTGCAGGCCCCACAGCAGGGAGAGGACTACGGGAAAGGCGTCATTTTCTACCTCAGGGATAAAGTGGTGGTGGGAATTGTGCTGTGGAACATTTTTAACCGGATGCCAATTGCTCGAAAGGTAAGCAGCATGAGTCTGGGGGCGGGTTTAGTCATGGGGTGTGCCGTTGACATCCACATGGCTGCCATTACTTAACCCACTGGTCTTCAGCTGGTGGGTCGGAACCCACTAATGGGCTTCAGGGTGATCCAGGTTGGGTCACAACAGGAGCGTTGCCATTGTGCAGACATACGGGAAAAGATTAAGAAATGCATGTTTGGGTTAAAAGTAGGTCCTGGGTCTGAAAAGGTAGAAAATACCTAACTTAAAAGAATCATATCATGGGCAAAAAGAAGCACTTCCTGTAGAAGCCACTTGCAGCCTTTTTGTCTCGAGATGCTGTGTTTAGCAGTTAGCATCAGGTCTTCAGAAAGGATTTAATTTTTATTTATTTTTTTAAAAAAGGGCCAACAGAACTAGAACTGACTTATCTGCCAAACTCTGAAGCTGTAATCACTGTTGTGAATAGGAGATGGGCAGCTCTCCATTGATGAGATGTCAGTGATCCAGTAGGTGATGCTAGTGAAGATACAGACAGTGCTTCTAGGGAATGTGTCATTCTCCATGTGTTCATCCATATATCTGGTGTGATACCCTTGTGCTCAGTCTCTGTGGCTATTTAGAATAACTGCAGCACACCAGTGCTTCTCCAGCTCACACTTTTTTCCCTGTGGCAAAAACAAGAAGAAGACCTTGCAAATAGGATCTAGCTAGCATAAAGCAAACTTTACAGCCATAAATGTATTGTGAATTGCAAGGTAGGAGGCTTGGAGGTGATGCTCCTGATAGCCTAATGGAAGAGAAGTACAGGGCTGGTTTTCTTGCCTGCCTTGCATAACAGCTAAGGAATAGAGAAGGCAGGATATGAGTCCTCAAGATTACACGAGTAGCTGGATTTCATTTAGGGTCTTGTCATCTTGTCCCCCATATAAATCAGTACTATTTGCCCTGTCTGGGAGCTGTTTTCTAAGACCTTGGACAAGGGTATTTCCTAGCCCTGCCCCCTCCCTCTATCAGGAGATGCCAGGGAACAAACCTGAGAAACAGCGTTCTACATCTGGCCTAGGCCAGGCCATTAGTTCTATCTCATCCCAGGTTTTGCAGATTAAGTATGTTGCATTGCATCTAATCTGTTTTCTGAGATAGTAACAGTGCTGAGATTGGCCCGGGGGCGGGGGGCTTTTCAAAAAGGACACCCCATGGTGTTTGATAGCAGAGTGGAGTAAGTGGCAGTTCAGGAGCTTCAGCTGAACAGTGTAGGCTCATAGCAGGTACAGGAACACAAGGCAGAAGCTGCTTTATTTCTCTTGCAGATCATCAAGGATGGGGAAGAGCACGCTGACCTCAATGAAGTTGCCAAGCTCTTCAACATTCATGAGGAATGAGTGTCTCGCCCAAATCCTTGGTCTGGAATGCATTTGGAAACTCGAGAGATGAAGGCCTAGGCACCAGGCTGAATGGGCTTGTCTGCTTGTGTGCCCCCTCCCTGTCCTGCCCACCAGAGTGTGTGTGAATATTTGTGAATGTTTGTAATGGCCCAAGACTTGGGCTCTCTTTGCACCATGAATTAAACCGGATTCTAAATAGCAATCGTGGCCTGTTTCCTGGTAACCTCCCTGCTGCTGATTGGACACTGGCAATGCTTTTCTTTCTTTCTAGAGAAATAGGTGTTGGTACTCACCATGAAGTTGTTACCATAAGTGCCACAATCTTTAAACAACAAAAAATGAGGTGCTGGTACTGCATACCCTTGAGTACCCCCTGGGGAAAAAGCACTGAGCAATGGTCGTGTGAAGGTTAAGGTTGGGCAGTCATGGTGAAAAACAAGCCACTCCTTTCTGACATCAGCCTTTGAGTGGGAACAACTGTGCTGGGTAGGAGTGAAAATCAGGAGCTTCAGAGACCAGCTGCAACAGTATGGGAAACTTCTGGTCCTGCATACAATGTTGGATTCCAACTTCCATCAGCCTCAGCCAGCATGGCCAATGGTAAGAGATGATTAGAATTGGTAACATCTAGAGAGCTGCTGGTTCCTCATCCCTGGCTTCAACCATCCTCCTCCTGGCCATCCTCCTCCTCTGCCCATGTTTGCTTCCCCTCTACCCCTCTGGCTGTAGGGGAGGCTTGAGAGAATGAACACTGGAGAGACTCAGGGAAATCTCTTTGCCTTGTAACAGCAAGAGGGTAACACCTTCTCTTCTCAAAAGCTAAAGGGGAGCTTCTTGGGTAGAGACAAAAGGAGTTATTTTCAGGCTGAGGGTTTTCATGTTCCTTTTCTTGAACCCCCCCCCCAAATATAAGGAGCAGGTTTGGTTTTGCTGCTGATGGCATGCAACAGAAGTTTCCCTTGCCAGATAAACTGCAAGTAAATTGGTGTTGAATCTATCTTCTAGCACTGTAGAACAGGGTGAAGAACTTTGGTGCCGAAGCAAGCAGGTGTAACCTGTTACTGAATAACCACCATTAAAAGAGGATATATTATATTGGGGAAACAATACCTGGTTTTTATGACTGACTTCCTGCCACTTTGGATTTCAGCTGATTCCTGATAAACGTGCAGGTGGTTCTGTGCAGAAAGAAGTGTTTACTAGTGGGTTTGATGGATGGCAGGGCTGGGGAACGAGTTGCTGGACTTCATGCCCATCAAGCCACAGATAGCATAGTTAGTGGTCAGGGAACAACAGCCAGAGAGTTATGGATTTCTCTCTCGTGATTTATGGTAGAGCCAACTGTGGAACCTGCAGTTCTTTCTTCCTTTCCTTTCCTCTGTCTCTCTCAGAAACTGATTTAGAGCACAAGTGGCTAATATGTGCTCCCAAATGTGGTGAATCATCCTGGACCACTGGTGCTGCTGATGGGAGTTGCAGTTCAGCAGTAGCTGGAGAGCTTTAACCTATCCACCCTTGATTTAGAGTCCTGGGAGTTGAAGAATGACAGGGGACCAGGCTTCAGAGTCCTTTTCATTCCAAAATACACTCCTGGTTTTCCTCCAAGCTTTCTTCATTTCAGCTGCCTAATTTTTGGGGGTGGGGGGGTGGGGTGCCATTGCTATTGTTAAAAGCAGTTGGGTATGAGAGAGCCTTTCTGTTCTACAGCAAGACACCCAGTGAATTATCACTAGATCCTGATCTGCTTTACACCCTAGTCCAGCTAGAATTGCACCTGGATGGGATGAAGCAATCAGGGAGAGGACTCCTCTGCCCTAGGCTATTACAGTGGAGACTTAAATGACTCAGTTGCCTTAAACCAGACATACCTAACAGAACCAATGGTCAGGGATGGTGGGAGTTGTAGTCCCAAAACAGCTGGAGGGCCAAGTTTGGCCATGTCTGCCTTAAATGGTAAGATGCCCCAAAGACCATCTCCTCTAGCATTCTCACAGTGGCCTTCGGAAGCCCATGCTTTCCCCAACTTTTGATTCCTGGCAAGTGTTATTTGGACACACATTGCCCCCAATACTGGCAGTAGTACAGTAATGAGTACTTGTAGCTATTCAAAGTCTTATCCTCAATCTGAATCCCTTTTAAAGCTACCCAGATTCATAGCCATGCCTGCATTGTGTGGTAGCACATCTCATGGTTTCAGTATGTGGTGCATACATACATTTGTATGTTGAATCTTCTAAGTTTCATTGGATGACCCAGTTCTAGTATTAGAAGAAGAAAATGCCTACCCGCTTTCTTCACATCCTGCATAATACACATTCCCACACGCACTGTTTTTTCCAGTATTACAAATGTATCCTTTCGTTAGAGGGGATTTGTTCCTGTCCCATGATCGTTTTGCTTGCCTTTTTCTGAACCTTTTCCCAGTTCTACAATGTATTTCTTAGGGACAGTGACCAGAGTATTCAAAGTGCAGTATCACCACAGATTTGTATAGTAGTGTTGCAATACTGACAGTTGTTTTCAATCCCTTTCTTAATGGTCCATAAGATGGTATTCACCTCCACAGCAGTGGCACTCTGGATGATGCTTCCATTGAATGTCTCCAATACCTTTTTCCTAGTCAGTCTATCACTAGTTCAGGCCCCTTTAAGTGTACAGCTGAAGCCAGCATTTTTTGCCTCAGTGGACATCACTTTGCACTTACCTACATTGAACAGCATTTGCCATTTGAATGCCCATTCACCCAGTTTGGAAACATCTTTTGTGTTCTTGCCACCCTGATCAATTTGGTGCCATTTGTAAACTTGGCCATCTTCCTGTTCATCCCGAACTCCAGGTTATTAGTATAATAGTTCAAAAAGTCCCAGTACTGATCCTAGGGGGGCCCTACTTACAGCCTTCCATTGTGAGAACAGCCCATTTATTCTTACCCTTTGCTTGCTGATTGTTGACCAGCTGCTGATCTGTAAGACCTTATCCTCTTTATTTCATCACTGCTAAGCTTACCCATTAGTCTTTGGTGAAGAACTGTATGAAAACGTTTTGAAAATACAGTATCTACCACAGCACCTCTGCAGATATACTTATTGACGCTCTTAAAATAACTGGTATGGGAGGCACACTGTGCTAGTTATTTTTCAGCAAGGCTCTCTCTTTTGTACACTTGGTAATTCTACCTCTAATAATATTCTGCAATAGCTTTTCCAGTGGAGATGTTAAGCTAACTGCCCTGTAATTTCATGGCAGCTCCCCAATTACCTTTTTAAAAAAATGGTGTTACCTTTAGGACCTCAAGCACAGAGGCTGATCTTAGGGTGTTGCATACTTCTGGCAGCCAATCAGCAATTTCACATTTCAGTTCTTAAGATTACACTTAAGCTCCTGCTGTTCAACACCCTTGTTTTGAAATGTTCCACACAATGTGAAGGATTGTCATGAGCTCAGGCGAACTACTGCAGCTGCCCAAGGGCCTGTTTTTAGCTGGCTCTAGATATAGAGTTTGCTGTCATATACTGAAGACTGACCAGTGAGGACAAGCCATGCCCTCTTTGAGCCTGTCACACACCAGTGTTCTCCCTTGCAGCTCATTGGCTGATACGGGGCATGGGGAGTGTTTTATCTTTTGTGTCCTCCTTCCACATTGCTGGTGGCACATGATGTCCTTGAATTCCCCCTCAACCCTTGCAGCCACCCAATCCAGTCAGCTGCTCTGTATGGGAAACAATTGGGGGATTCTAGTCTACCATGTAATAATAATTGGCTACAGCTTCATGCTAGGCCCCAGCTTGGATCCCAAGTAGTTAGGAGGGAGAAATATAAATGAGGCTTACATCCATGATTAGGTTACTGGGTAGTTTTTCATCTGGCATGCATATCCTTTCTTCCAACAGAAATGGGGAACCTGTGAGTGGCCATATGTTGGACTCCCGGCTGCTATCAGCCCTGGGCAGGATGGCCAGGTTAGAAGTTTCCTATCCCTGCCTTACAGAGTAGGGACCATGCCTCCTTGTTCCAGTGAATAGCCAATAGATGCTTTTCTAGATTAAACGGCAAGATTTGTCCCTTGGGAGCTACAGCTGTGCCCAACAAGGATTGTGTGTGCATCCCAGTTCAGTTTGGAGCAGCATCTTCTCTCCTCCAGGCATTGCCTTCCACCCAATACCTGCATCAGTGCCTTGACTTCCCACCCTCAGTTCTTTGCCCATGCCAGCAGACTCTGGGAAATGAGGCGACAGTTCCACATAACACTCCTGACTAGAAAGCCAACCTAACTGCTGAGTTACTGCTGAAGACAAAGTGGGAGATAATCCCAGCTAGGGAGAACAGATTTTTCAAACCAATTCTCCTCCCGGGAATAACAGAAACCTTGTGTACAGCTAAGCTATGATGGAGCTGATCAGAGATAGGAAACACCTGTGGCCACCTTAGCTGCTGCTGAGACTTAAACTTCCATCATCCCTGACCATTGGGTAAGTTGGCTGAAAGTGCCTGGAGTTGAAGTCCACCCACAGCAACCAAAGGGCCACAGGTTTCCTGTCCCTGGGCAAAACCTTCCATATTGAACAGCCCGCCCCGGCTGCCACCCCCTGCAGCTACTCCTTCCCTTTGCGCAGTACTCACTGGGAAGACTTTTGCAAAGACAGGATGCTGCTGCAGCAAATCCCACCTTAGCTGAATGGTATGAGGGATAACCCAGCAAAGTGCCTTAAGATTTCTCTGCAACTGATAATTATACTCTGGTACTGTTTAAAGTGAGTATAGGGAACCGGTGACTCTCAAGAGTCCTTGGCCATTGCCCATGCTGGCTGGGGTGTTCCGAGTTTCCCCAACATCTGGAGGGCCACATGTTCCCCACTCCTGGTTTAAAGAGGAGGCAAAGGGGGCTAAGTACTAAAAAAACCAGCTGTGTGAACAGAGCACTTGCCTCCTTTAAAGAAATTAGAACATTGGGTTCGGATAGAGCTGGGAGAGAAAGTGTATGTGGAGGCTGACCCTTTCAACTTCCTCACACCCCATTTTACACAACTGGAATCACAGCAGCTTTAGCTGAGGGGTGAGTGGATGGGAATTCCAGTCAGGAAAGTGCAAGTCGCTTAAATGGTGCACCTTTGAAAAGATGCAGCTCTTGAATTAAAACTCCTGCAAGACGCCTTCGTGCTCAACAGTTTAGGTGATGGACAACAGTATCGGTGCCAAAATCCATCTCCCTTCCTTGCTGATCTTGGTTTACTGGCCCGTAGTGGGACTAACAGCCCAGCGCTCTCTTCCCCCAACCAACAACAGCTTGCTTTGTCCTGGGAGGGATGGCAAGAAACTGTTTTCAAAAGCTAACTGTTATTGTACAGGTAAGCATCAAGTGGAAGTTGTTAAGTGTACTTCTTTGGTCTGCACAGCTCACTGCCAAAAATGGGTGGAAGAGGCAGCCATTATGGCATATAGAGAACACTCGTTTTCCCCTCGGAGCAGAAGTGCTTCTGTGATGGGGCTGCTTCCTCCCCACCCCCGCCCTGCCCACCAGGCTTCAGAAGTAAGAGAGGCCGGACCCAAAAGACGAGGCAGGAGACTGAGGCCCTGATGCAGGTTTTTCTGTACATAAGTGTTTTTGACACCAAAGCGTTGCTTAAAACAAATCAGAAGAAGAAGAAAAAGCAGCAGCTGCAGCACACGCCCCAAAGGCCCAAAGCCTTGGTGGAAAAGAGAGATGGGGGCGGAGAGAAGGGAACGCTGTTTGCTTTTTCCAAGGAAGGGGGCCTGCTTGCAAAACTGCTTTTGGGGCTGTGCAAGGAAATGCAGCTCCCCGAGTGGGAAGGGGGGGAAAACACAACACAAAAGAACAAAAATGTCACCACCCAAAACAACCTCCCCAGAGCAGGGGAAGAGCCAAAATAATAAGAGATTGCCCAGTCCTTGTTAGCACCTGTACAATAAAACTGTACCACACAACCCCACCCCCTGCCCCCCTACCCTCCAAATGATCCTCTCTCTCTCTGCTGCCCTCACCCCAGCCGAACTGACTGAACAAGGATGAAATGGTAAAGAGGGAGTGGGGGGCAAATAAAATAGCTGAGACCACCAGGTGCCTTTGGCTGTATAATAATTCTGTTTCGAAAAGTGGCTAGCTGGACATAAGAAACAAAATAATATGATAAAAAGGGCAGGGAGGGAAATGCACCCAACCAGGGGTGCTAACTTGAATAAAGTACTGGGGGGGGGCAGGTGTCGCCTTGCTTAGCTGCTCACAAGACCTGATGACTGCACACCATTTGAATGGTTATGCTCCTCAACTCTGGGGGGCCCCGGCCCCTCAAATATTTTATTGTGGAGGCTGAAGGTTGGCTCCTACTGTAGCTGGGTGTCTCTAAAACAGAGAGGAGAGAAGAAACAATAGTCTCCCTCTCGCTATTTTGTGGAGGAGAGGAGAAAGGGAGCCCCAAGCTTAGTCGCTCAGGGGAATCCCAGAGGCGATGGTGGCTGCAGGAAGTTGTCCCCTGTCTCTCCACTCACCCCCCGCCCCCGAATCACAGTGATACAGACTTAGCAAGAACAAAAAAGAAAAAGAACACCACAAATTAAATACTAATTTAAATAAATACTCTGGTAGAGCTTGGGGGTGGGGAAAGAGATGCAGTTCCATGGAGAGGCTTCCGAACCACCGAGGCCCTGCAGCAGGTGAACGAGTGCAGAGTCCAGGGCACAGGGGACGGCAGCTTCCTACCCCCGGGGTGGGTGGGAAGGTAGGAGGGCAGGCGGTGAGCACCCGTTGCAGTTCGTCAGGGAGGACCAGGCAGACAGAAGCCCTGCCCGCGAGAAGGCCACCTTCTCTCCTTGGTCCAGATTATTGCCTCGCAGTGCAGTCCGACACCAACAGAGGGGAATGCCCAGCCCCCCGTCAGCTGCTCCAGGCCTCCAACATCACCTCCGAGCCCAGCAGCCGAGCCAGCTCTGGCTCGTGGCGCACCAGCTCCACCGTCTCTGCAGCGCCCAGGGCCAAGGGGGGCGCCATGTGCGCCTGGATTTCTTCCGGGGCCAGCACCTGGCTCAACGACATCTGGCGCTGGAACTCCACCTTGGGCAGGGTGGTCACCTCGAAGTGTGGGAAACGGGCCTGAAAGATGCGGGACGAGAGCTTCAGCCGCTTCAGCACGTCCGAGAAGAGGAACCAGTTGCAGGGCCTGGGCAAAGGGGAGAAGCGCGGTGGTCAGTAGGGACATGCTCTCTGTGCCCATCCCTCCCCTGTTCTCCATTTCACCCTCTCACCCCCACAGTCAATGTTCTAAAAGCTGAAATGCAAGGGTTGAAACCTACCCATAAGCGACACCATCCCATCTTGACGGAAGCCCATTTTCCCCATATGTTGCTGGATCGCAACCGCCATTATTCTTCCCACTGGCCAAACTGGCTGGGGCCAACAGGAGTTGGAGCTCAATGACATCTGGAAGGGCCACATGTTCCCCATCCCTAATGTACTCAGAGCAACTGCCCTATCTTCTAGTGCCGTGTTTCCCCAAACGTGGGTATGCAGCTGTTTTGGGGCTATGATTCCCATCATCCCTGACCACTGGTCCTGCTAGCTAGGGATGATGTGAGTTGTGGTCTGAAAACAGCTGGAGACCCAAGTTTGGGAAACACTGTTCGAGTGTTTTTATTTTAAAAGTGCTCGTGCCGCAATGCCACACAACCTCTCTCCCCAGCCGTTAGCACCCACCTCACATCATCCAGGGCCACAACTGCCTGGTGCAAGTAAGTGAAAAGGATGGTAGTGCTTTGTTTTTGAAGACCATGCTTCTAACCCTCATGGGTGCCCATTATGCTTGAATACACTGCAGGCCTGTCCCTACCGACATCTCAGCAGGAGGCAGGACTTGGGTCAGGTAGTGGGACTTCTGGGTAGCTCGTCTCTGTGCTGTGCGGCCCTCCCCCACCCCTCCCCCAGCTTCTGCCTAATAAAAATCAGAACCAATGATGCAAAAGCACAAGACATTCTGAGATCTGCTTCCTTTGCATCCTTTATCTGGGTCACAGCATTGTAACGACTGCAGCACCAGCAGTTTGGAACGGTGCTTTTGCAGATGCAGGATCTTGGCCACGACCCTACCTGCCCCCACCCCCATCCTTTTGGAACCACGGAGCTCCCACCACTTCCACGCTTAACATGCAGAATAGGCATCATGTACCCCACCACCACCACCACAAAGCCTGTTATTTTGTCATAGTTTGCCAGTCTCTCATTTGTCACAGCAGGCTCTCTGAATGCCCCTCCCCTCCTTGAGCAGCTGGCAAAACCTTGCTGTGCCTGTGTGAGCTAGAGAAGGAAAGGGAAAGTTGACTTGCAAGCAAATGCACGTCTCGCTCATCCTTTCCCCAAGGCTCTCAAAAGCTGTTGTCTGCAACAGACCCGTCCTTCCGTCCCTCCTGCTCACCACCTTCCAATAACACTGGCCTTCGGACTTCAGGGCTCCTCTTTCTCCCAGGGAGTAGTGGGGTGGTACAATTTGGCCCGTTCTCACAAGCTCCCCAAGCTCTCCCAACAAGGAGATGCTGGCACTACTCACCCCCGGGAGACAGACACTTCCAGGTTGTAGCAGGGGAGCAGCGGCTTGTCGGAGAACTCAAACATGAGGTGGTCCGAGTCCTGCTCATCTTCCTCCTGATCAGAGCTCCCGGGAGGGTTGAGCAGAAGGTCACAGCCGATTTTATCTTTCCCCTCTGAAACAAGGGATGCGGGAAATGGAGAGGGAGAGGGAGGTGAGCGAGGGGAAACGCCACGGGCTCAAAGAACTCTGCACGCACAACCTTGCTCCCTAGCCTTCCCTGTGCCCAGTTCACTTGCTGGACAGCCATCGCCATAGCAACCCGACCACGGGCTGCAAAAGAAGCCCAGCATGGAGATGCCTGGAGGAACAGCTGGCAGAAGCCAATAGAAATTTAGAGACCACTATGGGGCTGTGTTACTCTGCAATGCTGCAGGAGTGCAGAAGGCTCAGGCTGGGTGAGGAATGTAGCTCTGCAAGAATGACAGCTCCTGTTTTGAAAAACCCCATGCATCTAGCCTTTTTAGGGGCAGAGAAACATCTGGCAGTGCAAGTAAGCTGGGTCTCCTGATGTTTCAGAGGTCAGCATGTAAGGTTTCCAGTGGTTGGGGTGCACAGCTCATCAGCCCCTCCCAGGATCAGCAAAGCTAGAATAAATGACAGATAACCCCCCCCCAAACAGTGGGATAAATTGTGCATAATAAGGGAACATGCACAGTGCTCAATCCTCGTCCTTTAGAGCTACCTTCTCCAATGTGGTGCCCTCCAGTTGTTTTTAGACTACAACTCCCATTACTCATGACTGTCAGCAGTGCTGGCTGGGGTTGATGGGAGCTGGGATCATGCAGAATCTAGAAGGCACCAGGTGAGGGGAGGCTACTTTCAGCAGGCACAAAAATCAACTCTTCTGGACTGCACGGATGCAAAAATGCTGGGTTCCTCTTTCCCACATTTAAACAGAGAAGACAAACAGTCCTAGATACATACTCATTTCCCCACTCTCTCCACTCTCAGGATGGGAGAGGCCAACTTCCTCGGGCACAGGAGCAGCAGGTTATTTTCTCCCAGAGAATGGCTGGAATTCTGGCACAAGGTATGCCAAAAGTCACCCATCTCTTGCTGCCTACTGCTTGCCCAGAGCTGCCACTAGGACAAGGACAGGGAACCTGTGGCCCTCCAGATGTTGCTGGACTCCCAACTCCCATCAGACCAAGCAAATGGTTAGGGATGACGGAAGCGGAAGTCAAGCAGCACCTGGAAGGCCACAGGTTCCCTATCCCTGCCTAGGCTGAAGAAGGGAAGGCACCAGCAAAGGAACAAAGAACGGAGGAAACATCCCAAGGTGCGCTTGTGAGACCAACACGTCTTGAGCTTGAAGGCTCTTCCACAGGGGCAACCAAACCGGTTTCTTCAAAGGGCAGTAACTGGGCAAAATCACCCACCTTTTGAAGAAAATGGTTCAAACACATCTTTGAAGATCTTTCTCCTCCACTCAGTACGCTGCAGTAGCAAGTGGTTTCAGACCAAAAGACAGAGTGCTTGGGAAACAATCAAAAAATGCCCTGCACTTCATTCCCTTGCTCCAAACATCCTGCCTCTAAGGATGGAGGGAATCCGATCAGCTCCACTACATGTTGTTTCAGGGAGCAGGGAAAAGAGGTAGGTGGGGTCTACTCACCTACTATAGTGCTGCTGTAAAAATCCCAGGCTGTATGGGGGTCCCCTTCAGCTCGACCCTGCAGATCCAAGAGGTAATCTGCAAGAAGATAAAATGGAATAAAGGAAGCTGAGACATCAATGTGTTTTTGGGTGCTTAGGCAAGGTTCCCAGAGAGTAAGGTGGGGGACTTTTTGACCTGGTGTGCCAGATATTTTATCTCTTCCTATCCTTGTGTCTGAACTTTTACAGGTAGGCAGAGGCAACCCATCAGCCATCAGGTGACCATTAAGTAGGCAATCTAGCTAACCTGTTTAAGTTAACTTGTGGAAGGGAAAAGTCACCAGGAAGCAGCAAGGAGCAGAACTGAACTGTCTCTCATCAGGTGATCGGAGGGCACTTAAAATACTGATGCTTTGGCTGAGCATACCAGCTCCATGTGGGGAACAGGCAAGCACAGCCCATCAACTGATTTCACCCACCCATCAAAGTGATGTCAGGTGACTGACCAGAGAGGGCACAGTTTAGGGGAAATGGTCTCATGGGCCAAACTGGACCCAAAATTGGCCTGCAGGATGAAGGTTCCACAATCCTTGCCATAAAAACTGATTAAAGCAGGGTTTCCCAAACTTGTGCCTCCAGCTGTTGTTGGACTACAACTCCCATCACCCCAAGCTAGTAGGAGCAGTGGGTCAGGGATGATGGGAATTGTAGTCCAAAAAACAGCTGGAGACCAAAGCTTGGGAAACCCTGGATTAAAGGCATAATTCAATGTGGATTTACCATGAAAGATTGTGATGTTATGATAAATCCACATAAATCCACCTTTAATGGAGCAAAAATCTTCGTCTTTTGCTCACGGGTACCTTCTAGAAATATTCATGTAGGATTCTAGTCTAATGTTTTCAAGGTAGAGCCCTCCAACATGAATCCGTCCAAAGCCCTCCTCAGAGGGAAAACTATGCACCAGAATCAACCCAAAGAAGCATGTATATATCCTGCAGAATGATGTCCTTTAGTGCAAATCAGGCACTTTTCCTGCAAAACCCATGTGCATTTTCGACTGCAGCAACACACACGTCATATCTAGTATCCAATGGCCGGGGTGTGTGTAAAATTGCTGCCTTACCTTTGACAAAAGGAAACCTACCATTAAGGAAATTTTTCATGTTTTCGCTGCTGGCCAGCTTCAGGGCAGTCTGCCCCGAATATGTAGCCAGGGTTGGGTCAGCACCGTAAGACAGCAGGAGCCACATGATCTCCAAGTTGTCATTTGCTGCAGCGTCATGGACAGGCCTGCCAAGAGACAAAGAGTTTTAAATCGGATTTCACAGAGTCAAAAGGCTGGAGCTGAGCAGGGATCACCCATTCCTCCCTGGCCTTCCCCATAGGACAGCCATCAGGGAACCCTTAAGGAACCTGCAAGGGACCCTACCCCTCCTGTTTGCCTTTGTGAAGTGTTGTGTACTCTCTGTTAATGGCAGGCGGTAAGCTCAGCATCTGCTTGCCTACAAGAGGTTCCAGGTTCAATACCCAAGGAGCATCTGGTAGGGCTGGGAGAGACTCGTCTGAAAAAACCAGACAGCCTCAGCCAGCCAGCGTAAACAATATGCTGAGGTGGGTGGAAGGGTCCTGTGCTCTGCTACATATTTTAAATAGGGAGAAATGAATATGGAGAAATGTCCACTGCTGGCCTGCCCTTGGTAACTGAGCGACGACCATATTATTAACAAATAATTATCCTGAGCTGCAAGGATTTAAAGAAGTACCAGACATGACGGAGCCACAGCTCAATGGCAAAGCACATGCCTTTCAAGTACGCGGGACAACAATTTAGTCCCCGGAATTACTCGATAAAAGATCCAGGCACCGCCACTTTGGGCTCGGGACATTGCAGAACCGCTGCCCCTCAGGGTAGGTGAGTGCATTAGACAGCCCATCCATCGTGTCTTTCTCATGGGGTGTGGCCTGGACTGGACTGCTTTCAAGACCGCGGAGGGATTCTTGCTGAGCCTTCTCCCTAGCATGCTATTTTTCTATGTGCAGGGATTTTTAAATAGAGAGTAGCAGACAGTTCTCAACCTTCAGAACTGGCTGAAATTCAGTGCAAGATGTCCCTCTTAGAGCACATGAACAAGGTAGGTTGCATTTATTTATTTAATTGCCACCCCACCTTTCCTCCCAAGGATCTCAAGGAAGTTTACGTGGTCTCCCCCATCTCTTTACCCTCATGAAAAAGGGTATGGCTGGTCCAAGATTGCCCAGAGAGTGGCAGAGTTGGCAATGGAACCTGGCTCTCCTCTGCCCTAAATCTGACACTCTTAAGTACTGCACCACAGCAGCTTTCACTGGCTTAACTCGTCAATGTTACAGATCCAGAAGCTAAAACGGGCCAAATGAGGCCCAGAGTCAGCAGACCTCTTAGCCCCTGGCAACTGTGGTTCCTCAGCAGCAGTGGACTTGCCTGGTGCCATCCTGTGCACTGCAGTTCACGTTTGCACCATGCTCCAGCAAGAGCTGCAGGATGTCGAGCCAGCCGCGAGCGCAGGCCTCGTGCAGGGCTGTGTAGCCTGCGTTGTCCCTGTGGTTGACATCGTTGTTTTCCTTCTGCAGGCAGTACATCACCACATCCTGGCGAAAGAAACCCCAACCAAGATTAGTAAACAATGGCAGCACTTGTCTCCTGCTGTTTATCTATCCACCCCGCCCCCTGCAAGAACGGGCACCCACCTTGTAGCCAAGCCGGGCTGCTCTCTGCAGCAGTGTCTCCCCGGCATTCTTGTTCACAATCAGTCGGCGAGCTTCAGGGGGCACCGGCGGGGCTGCGGGGGGCTCGGGGGATCTTTCTGATTTGTGCTGCCGGGACTTGTTCAACAAGCAGGGTTCCCGAGCTTTCTTTGGAGAGCGTGTCTTGGACTGGCTCAGGCGTGCCTTGGCCTTTTTTTTAAAAAAAAATATGGAACACAGAGAATGATTGGGGAGGAAGAAGAGTAGCGTCAGAACAGGGCTAAGCGAAGAAGAATTCTGAACCTCTAAAAAAATCAAAAAAAGCTTGCATTCCACAAGGTCACAGTTTGCATCAATAACACGTTTACTTTTGTATGAACACTCAATTCTGCTTCTGCTAGCTGTGGAGAAGGGCAGAAAATGATATACAATATGGAAGTCCGGAAATCTCAGCAGTGTAAATCACACTCTCCAACACCACACTAGCCCAGTTTCCTGGGATCTCACAGGCATCACTCACATTTTGTTAAATCTTAAAAAAAGAAAAGAAAACTGAGACTCCCAAACGCTGGATTCGGCTCCCAGTAATCCATTCTGCCTTTGCATTGTGCACAGGAGGGCAGATAAGATTGCCAATCTGGGTTCTGAACACATACACACCTGGCTTCTGCTCTGATCATATTGAGAGCCCTTTAAAATAAAATGAAAAATGCTGGCAGATCCATTCATAGGAAGTGAGGGAGCAGCTGTACACCAGGATGAGACTCTTCGTTATGCTTAAATTAATACTGTTGACAACAGGGATATGCTGCCTGTGGCACTTCAGCTCCCTCCCACCCCAGCCAGGAGGGTTATGGGTTGCCCATCCTTGGTATGCAATACCAAGTGGCAACTTCCCAAGGCCCCAGGCAACCGAGATAAGTTATTTCCCAGCAACTGCTAGCTAAACCTTTTAACTGGCAATTGAGCCTGGTTTTGTAGCTCAGACTCCCACAGAGCCCTGGGTGCAGCACCCGTCTAACCCTATCCCGAAATCAACTCCAGCACCTCCTAAACAATACTGTACCTTCCCCTCTTCACAGACGCCTGAGAGGTGTTTGGTTTTGCATTTGCGTTTCCCAGAAGGTTTCTCTAGCACATCCTGGATGGGAGCCGAGTCAGGGTGATCCAAGAGGAATCCGTTGTGAAAGTCCAGGCGTCCTTGGAGGGTTGGAGAAAGCCTGCTCCTCAAACACAGGTCTGAGCCTTTGCTCGGCACAGCATCCTTGTGCTTTCGGTACCTGAAGTCTGCAAGGCAAGCCAGAGGGGGATTAAACAGAACAAGGAGGCTCAAATGCAGACATCCCTGTTAAGCCCTTCTGGGAGGCAGCCTAGCCTCAGAATCAGCTCCCGAACATGCAAACAGAAGTGGGAAGTAGAAAAAGAAAGGAACAGCAGAGGCTTCAGAGCAAGCTTCTTGGTTAGCTCCCCTTGCATACCATCAGCCAGCCGTGGGTACGCCAGAGGAAGCTGTCCAGCATCCTCAGTCTATGGAGTGCTGCTAAGCAACTGCTCCCATTTTAGCCAACTGAAACGGCACTAACGTCACAACTTCTGCACCCATTTCCCTCGCCCCCTTCTATTCTGAGCCACTGCCACATTACCGTGGCAGTGAGTTCCGTAGCTTTATTGCATTTATTATTATGCCATCGATGTACATGATCCTTTGCTAACAACTTGAAAGGAAGATGGACCAGAGGGCCAGAGAACTGCAAAAGCAAAGGATTCTGGGAAACTGATACCTTTGACCAGAAGCAAAGAATTAGCATACAAACGAGGACGAAGAGAGAAGCAGACTGGTGGACGGACCCACCACTGGCAGCACACGCCGTTAGATACACTGCAGACGTCCACAATTGCCCCAAAGGGAAGCTGTGCTTGAAGTTCTACGTAGTTTCCTCCTGCTTAATGAGCTTTCCCACAATACATGCGGCCCTGTCCTCCCTTAAGGCTTCCAGGCCTTTAAGCTCTTCGCAAAGCACTCCACAGCTTTTTCCACCCCTGCTAGCAAAACCCAAGCCGAAGCAGCCGCCCCCTGGTGGCTACCACAGCTGACAAACTGGACAGTTGTGCCTTGCTCCGTGCCACTACGGAAGACATGTCCTTACTCAGGCTGAAGAGGGAGGCCTTCCTGCAGCCGACAGCAGGATTAATTTGGCAAGCCTGCAAGAGCAATTGTCCCTCTTCTTTCCAATGGCCTAAAAGGGTTTTGTTTTTGTTTTTGTTTCTTAAAAAAAGATGCCAGAAAGGAGAGGGACAATTGCTTGTTATTTCCTCTCTGGTAAAGCACTGCCTTTTAAATTCTAGGGAGGAGACGGCTGCAGCATAAGTTGTTCAAAGGGCACTCCACAGACTTAACAGCCGTTCAACAACAAATAAGCAGGCTAAGACGCTGGCGAGGTCTATTTTGGACAACCTCTAGGGAAGTGAAGTTGGATGGGTGTCCACCAGGGGTGCTTCAGGCACAGGCAGAGCTGTGTGCAGTTTGTGCAGCACTTCGTGCAGGATGACAAACTTCAGACTGCACCACATGGTTCAAAATGCATGGTCAATGCTTGGCAAAACCTCAGAAGACCCAAGGAAGGGAGACCGCCTGTCCCAGGTTCACACTGTTTCCATGGGCTATTACTACTGCACATGCACAGAAACATGGTGGGCAAACTAAGAGTGCTGGCAACCACTGTGAGCAGTGGGGGCACACAGGATGTACAATGTTTCCCTCTCTGCCCCTTACAACCCTCCCAGTCACAGGTATTGGCATGGACTGGCTCAGCCCACAAATCTGTGTTTTTTATTTACCAGCCTGCCCCACGCCCAGCAAGAAACATGGGCTACGCTTTCTTTAAGAATTGCATTCTGCCAAGCAGGTTGGCAGAGGAGAGGCAGAAAGGTACATGCCTCCTTTGCGAGCCCACTCACTCGCCTGCATGGGATTCCTGGTTGCCCATGGCGACTAAGTGAACTGTTAAATGTGAAGCTGCCACAGGGCCAAGTACCACTAGCCTGACAGCGCAGAAGTTGCACCAAGGGCTGCCGCCTTAAGGATCCCTGTGCTGCAGCCATGCCCCATGCTGTTCCTGGTGGCTCCCCTTCGCTACCTGCTTTCATTTTCCGCCGCTTATGGCAACAGCTCGTGTGCTCCTCTTTCTCCCGCTCTATCAAGTACTCTCCAGTCTGGTACTTCCAGCTTTTCTGCCTCCTCCTCTTCTTCCTCTTGATGTGGCCGCTCTCCTCCTCCGCCTCCTTGCGGCTCCACAGCTGCCGAGTGGCGTCCACTTGCCACGGCATCCCCTGACTCTTGCGCAAGTGGAAACTGCTCTTCTCTGACCGCGACCGCTCTCCGTCTTTGCAGCTGGAGTGGGGGGAGAGGCGGTGGGATTTTCTCAGCCTGCGATGCCTCAGGGCGAGCTCATCCTCTCCCTCGACATTCTCTTCTTCCTCTTCCACCGGCGGTAGAATCTCCTGGCCACACTCCTCCAACATGTTAACAGAAGAGCCTCCCATGCTTCCTACAGGAAGAAGGAAAGGAAAGGACCCCCTCGCTCTTCAATCAGAATTAAGCACTACACCTCGGGATCTCAGCTTTAGCAACGGCTCCCTCTTTTGTGCCCAATTTTCCCTCTCAGAATCCCCTAATATATAATTCATTTCACAAGTAACAACAACAAAACAATTAGCAAATCCAGATGCTGATTTTTCTTCAAAATTCACTCTGAGGAAGAGACCTGTGCAACTCAAAAACCTGCACACTTGGTTTCAAAATTAAATTGACCCAAAGTACAGATATTGCTTGTCTCTTTCTGCATGGTTGTTTAGGGACTGGGGGACCGAGGCAGCTAAGCTAAGAAGATTTCACACAACACACAAGCATATGTTTCAGACGGACCACAGCCCCCTGAAAAAAAGCCAGGTTCCCCTCCCCCAGGTCGAAGGAATCAGCCACTCACCTGTCTGGCTGCGTGTCCGGCTGCTCAGCACCACAGGAATGAAGTCCTGGAAACTGTTCTTTGATTTCTTCTCAATAAAAGCTGAGGAGGATTGTTTGGTTGGGGGGAAAGAAAAGAAAAAAGAAGAGAGCTCTGAAAACTAAACTGCCATCTGGAAAAATACAACTATTGGTCCAGGGAAGCTGTGCATCCTCCGTCCTGCCCCCACCCCAGAGGAGATCTCAGCCACAAGCAGGTGTGAAGCTGGGAAAGTGAGCCCACAAACCCAAAAGGGGGTTTTCAGACACACAACTCGAGATTAGGGAAAAACAGATCAAACTGTGCATGGGTTCAGTCGTTCAGTCTGCTCTGTCCCACTTCCACATTAATTGGAAAATATGCTTTAAAATTTTCATTTCTATCCCGCCCTTCCTGCCCACCTAAAATACACATTTAAAACGTATTTTGGTACCCCCCCAAAATCTTTATTTATTTTTTTTAGCTATGAGCTGTATTGCAAAATTTGAACAAGTGCAAAACCCAAAGGACAGTTGTGTTCTGATTTGCATTATCATCAGCTTGTACTCTCATGCCCAGCTCAACAGGCAAGTGGTCCTGCCGTGGTTGCACAAACAAAAACTGAGGTAGAGGAAATTGCAATAAAATAAAATAAAAACCTACATCTAAGTTGTCTAATGGGCTTGATGTTTGTTAAACCTTTGATTACATGTATTTTGCTTCCTCACAAGAAAGGAAAATGCTAGGTACGCTACTGTATTTTAAGGAAGCAAGCCACAAATTCAGAGAACGGGCCTCATATACCCCAGAGAGGATGGACAGAAACCCCTCACACTGCAGGTAGCAGCTCTGCCCTTTAAGGGGGGCTCACTCCCATTTCGATCCCTCTCTCAAGAGGTAGGCAAAGATGGGCTGTGCCCAGCAGAGAGAGACCCAGCGTAGGAGAGTCTTCCATGGATGTTGGACACTTTTAGGAAAGGCAATCGCCAGAGCCCAGACCCGGCTCCTGTACCTTCTTCGCAGCTGTGCCCATGATGCCCTGGAGACGCCTTCCGGCGCTTGCGCTTGGCCCGGGGGCTGCCATGCTCCTTCGTGGAGCCCGACCGGCTCTCCTGCTTGCTGACCTCATGGGAGCTGTGGTGCTTCCGCCACTGTGGACACAGAAGAGACACACTGGCGGTGAGAGGAAGCGAGAGGTCTTTGCCAGGTTTGTCCCACGTTATTTTTTTCCCACGTTTGTACCCCACACCTCCAGCGCTCCCATGTCCCCAGGGCTGCTTGCAATTGAAATGAAACTTCAGAAATACAAGGCAGAATAAAACCCTGGAACTGAAATGTTAGGAAGATCCAGCAGATTTAAAAAAGGCACGGCAATAAAAACCACTACCCCAATCTGCTTAGCAGGTAAAAAAATAAACAAATGAAATTAAAACCTGGGAAAATGGAAAAGGTCTTAGCTGGTGATGAAATGACATAAAATCTGGTGCCACCTGGGGGAAGTGTGTGTGTATGTGTATGTATATAGGAATACCTGAAAAGGTCTCTCACTGCCCTTATTGCCATTCACTTAGCCTTTGAAGGGCAGGTCACCCTCAGAAAGGCTACAGAAGTGAACTTCAGTCACAGTGGTAGGGAGGAAGACAGTAAGAGATAATCTGGGTTCCAAGCCATGCAAGAGCTTTAAAATGATAAGCACGGGCCACTTTGAACTGAACTCTGAAAGAAATCAGAAGCCAGGCCGTGGCTTCTTAATGGCTGTGTCTCATTCAAGCAGCTGCTGGCAACAGGGCATGCACTTGGGGCAATTAAAACAGACTTGCCCTACGCCATATGACACAGCCAAGTGCCTCTGAGCCTCTTCTGACGTCACATGCTCCATCTAGCTGCACGAAGAAACCTCTGACACAAGTAAAGTCAAACCCAGGGAAAAGCCCAAGGCATTCTGATAAGGCTGGAGCCACCAGACAAAACCAGAAATGCTTCCAAGACCACATCTGGGATTCACACATCAGCCTCACCTCCAACTAGTGTGTTACACAGAGATTCAACCTGGATACAGTTTTTTAGAGGACAAACTACATTTTAAAATGTAACATCAGAAGCATTTTGTCATGTAATTCTTTTTCCTGGATCCGTTCTGTCTGTTAGCTAAGATACAGAGAAAATAAGAAACTGAATAAAAAATAACCAACCAGGACATTCGTGTTAACAATGGACACTGATCCTAATAGTGCTCTTGTGCATCAAACAAGCACTTCTCATGAGGGAGAGTCACAAAATAATTTAAGATGCACAATGTTATCACATGAAATTCCTGGTTCTGTCTGCTGTCCTGGCAAGATTCTCTCCTTCCTGTAGTATTGGAAGCAGCTCTTCAGGACCTCCATCAGCACTACAGGAGGTTACTGCCAACATCTTTCAATCCTGGTTCATCTTTTACCTTGTCCTCAGCAAGAGATTAGTCCTCCCTGAGGACTCCCTAACCTTCAGCCCAATCTCACCCATTCCACCCCTCAGATGCTGCTCCAGGAAACGCTGGGTGCGATCCCTGTTTTCACATCAGGGCAAGTCACTCACCTTGTGGGTGTGCAGGTTCTGACTGTCCGATTTGCAGGGGGCCTGAGATTCCTCACTGCCCCTGCACTTCTGCTTCTTGTGGGTCAGGCGGTCTGGCCCGTCATGCTGCCGCTTGGACTTGCAGGGGAAGCCCTCCTCCACTTTGATGTGGGCCACCCCCTTGAGCTTGGCTTTCGGAGGGCTTCTCGAGGCAGCCCCAGCATGCAGACAAGTGGTGGAGGTGATCAGCACCTCTGGCTCCACCCGTTCCTTCTTCACGCGGCTGAGATCAACCTGGTGCACACTGCGGAGAGTGACTTCTGCCGCCGGCTGATCCCGAGATGCGTTGCTGCACTTCCGGTCCTTGCGCTTGCTCCCTGGGAGAGGCGTCTCAGAGGTCGTCCGCACGCTTGGCTGGCTAGCTAAGGAAAGGCCGTGAGATAGGTAGGCAGTCAAGACCTGGTTTTTAGGCTTGGCGTCCCCGGGGCGCTTGCGACTGCAGCCCTCTGGGGGAGCTTTGGGCTGCGGGGTGGCCTCTGCTGCCAAGTCAGCCTCGAGTCTGTCGGAGTCGTATTTTGGGATGAGACCCTCGGAGCCCCTTGCGTCTGGGAGGCTGGTCTGAAGAGCTGGTGAGATGCACAAAGGGCTGGCTGTGTTCGGCAAGGCTGCCTTACAACCCTTGCCCTGAGAGGGAGCTTCGGGGGGCTTCTGGACCACAGCAGAGGACTCTATCGGCTGCACACCAGGGAACGTGGCCAGCTCGCCTGCGCCAGCTGGTTTGCAGGGGGCAACTTGACTCGGGCACAGCTGCCCGGCTGCCGAGATGCCGATGGAAAGCAGAGGGCCCTGATGATAAGGCGACCACCCCACGGGCAGCAGCTGGGGGCTGGCAGGCTTCCCGTTGACTGAGCACCGAGGGTAAACGCTTCCCTGGCTGGGGCTCCAAATGGCCATCTCCTTTGAAGGGTGCAACTGGGCCCCTGGGACACCCCGGCCACGAAGGAGCTGCCGTGCGGGGTCAGGAGGCCCCTCTCCACCACTCTTCTTCCCGAGAGGCAGCCCACCACTGCGAGGCTCTCCCTGGTCAACAATGGAAATGAGCTCTTGCTTGGCCAGATGGCGGGAGTCCCTGCCAAGGCCGGGGCCGGAATCCTTGCCCAGCAGCACGGAAGCTGGGACTGGGTTGGCCACCCCAACGTAGGTGCCTGGGATGGTGCTGATGAGGGCAGTCGAGTTCTTCACCCAGGAGCCCTGCTCCCCATTGCGGAGGAACTCCGGGAAGATGACGAAGGGTGAAGCGGTGCCCGGGCCGCCGATGGCCTGAGCCACCCGCTGAGGCTTGGAGAAGACCGTGGTGAGCAGTGCTTTGCCGCTGGTGTGCACTGGGGTCAACACAGGCATCGGGGGCGTCTTGCGCTGGCTCGGAGGAGGCAGCTTCTGGCGGTTTGACTTGGCGGAAAGGTCAAGGGGCATCTCGCTGCATTCCGGGGAGACCATCTCACGCTCCAGCTGTGGGGGGGATTTCAGCGGGGAGATGGAGGCCAGGACGCCTGAGGGAAGCTGTTCCGGGACTGCCGGGGCCCTGGTGAGCACGCTGGCGGCGACTGACAGCGGGACAGTGCTGGCACCTGCTGCTGCCGAGGCAGGCGTGCTAGGCGAGAGGTCCGAGCCTTCGACAGCAGAGGAGGGCCCAGTGACTGCAAGGGCGCTGCTCTCTCCTGACGGGGCAGGGCAGTTCAGCTGGCTTGTCTCCACAGGTGCCACTTTGGGATCTGCGGCCAAAGGCCTGGCCACGGAGAAGGCATATGGGTAAGAGCGCAGCTCAGAGGGGGCGAGAAGGCTAGGCAGGCAGGGGTCTTGTGGGAAGGAGGGTATGACAGGCAGGGCAAGGGCAGACGGGACCCCGAGTGGGCTCGGAAGAGGTGGGAGGTAAACCAGGGGCTGGCTGGGGGTGAGGACTGCTCCAGGTGGGAAGGAGAGGGCCATTTTTTGCATAGCGGGGGCCTGAGAAGTGGAGAAACAGACGCTTTTCAAGGTGAAGGTGGCTGGGGGAGAGGTCAAAGTGCTGCAGCTGTTGGTGGCCGTGGCGGCGGCAGCCGTGGCGGCAGCTGTCAGGGTTGTGCCAGCAGCTGGGGTGCTCTTCTCCTTTGCTGGATGCTCACTCTCCAGAGCCTTTGGGCAAGCAGGGGAGACCTCTGCCGCCTCCTTAGCAGACGGCTGTGCACAGTCCGGGCTGCTGCTGCTCTCTGGCCTTGTGAGTCCGCCCTCCCTAACTTTGCCTGGGTTGGCATCGCCGCCCTTCAAGGCCTTCTCAGCACAGTCTGGCTCGCAGGGCTGCTCCTTAAGTGTAGGTCCGAGTTCCTCCTCCACGATGCCCTCTGCCTCAAACCCTTGGGCACTGCCGCCGCTACTCGAAACTGCCGTGAGCTCCACCTGCAGCAACGAGGGAAGGCAATTGCGTCAATAACACTATTGTATAAACATGTTGTTGGTGTTTCACATGCAAATTATATCAGGAATCCTAAAGCAGGTTAGAAATCAGTTTTATTGTCTTGCTAGGGAGCCAAGGCAGAGTGACTCGCCTAAGGCTACCTGGAATCAACAAGGGTGACCCACACCTCCACCTGGTACGCCGGGTTAGACCCCACCTCCCTTCAGACTGCCTCACCAAAGTAATGTGTGCCCTGGTTATCTCCTGCTTGGACTACTGCAATGTGCTCTACATGGGGCTACCTTTGAAGGTGACTCAGAAACTACAACTAATCCAGAATGCAGCAGCTAGACTGGTGACTGGGAGGGGCCGCCGAGACCATATAACACCGGTCTTGAATGACCTACATTGGCTCCCAGTGCGTTTCTGAGCACAATTCAAGGTACTGGTGTTGACTTTAAAGTCCTAAACGGCCTTGGTCCAGTATACCTGAAGGAGCGTCTCCTCCTCCATCATTCGGCCCAGACACTGAGGTCCTCCTCCAAATCTTCTTCTGGTGGTTCCCTCACTGCAAGAAGCGAAGTTACAGGGAACCAGGCAAAGAGCCTTCTCTGTAGCCCTGTGGAACGCCCTCCCATCAGATGTCAAGGAAATAAACAACTATTTGACTTTTAGAAGACATTTGGAGGCAGCTCTGCTTAGGGACGTTTTTAATTTTGATGTTTTAGTATGTTCTGATATATGCTGTAAGCCTGTAAGCTGCCCAGAGTGGCTGGGGAAATCCAGCCAGATGGGCAGGGTATTATTATTATTATTATTATTATTATTATTATTATTATTATTACCAGCACCTAATTTCATGGCAGAGGCAAGAGTTGAACTGAGAACTGTCCAGTTCATGTTCTGGTTTGTTTGTTTTAATAGCCACTATGCAACATTTGTTCGAAGAAAGCAACATAAGAATCCCTTTCCTGCTTCATCAGATCAAAGGTCCCTATTTGTCCCCAATATCTGGTGCTCGGGGACAGACTGCCTCAGCACATGGAGGTTCCATTTAGCTACCCTGGCTTAAGAAACAGGAATATCCTTTTGTACCAGGTTCAGATGACTGGCCCATCTAACCCAGCACTGTCTTCTTTGACTGGCAGCAGCTTCCCAGGGTCTCAGGCAAGAGTCCTTCCTAGAACCTGCAACCTGATCCTCTGGAGTTGACGTGGATGGAGCCTGGGTCTATACACATGCAAAGCAGCTGCTCTACCTCTTGGTCATGGGGTAAACAGCCATCAACAAATCTCTCCTTCTCCTCCATGAATGTGCATAACACCCTTTATATAAGTCCACGGCCATCAGTCCACCCTGTGGCAGCCCATTCCATTTGAGCTGGCCAGGTAATTAGCCACTTAGGCCCTCTGTATCTCAGCAAGAACCAAAGCTTCCTCCCCTAGGTACAGCCACTAAGCTGCCCCTTACCTTGGAAAAGCTGCTGCCAGTGCAGAAGTCAGGGGAGCCCAGATGCTGGGAGTTGCTGGTGTTGGATTCTTCATCAGAAAGTGGGGCTCTCCTGTTGCAGGAAGAAGAGAAAGAATTGTGAAGCTGAGAAACAATCGCCCAAACCTGCAAGACCCAAAGCATCTCCCCAACCCACTTTTGGAGGTATCTCTTGTGAGCAGATGCACATAGGCAGGGGGCTTCGTCAGCCAGATGCAGTTCATGAGTCATACACAGCTCACGCTTGTCCTAAAGGATGTGCAAGCAAGGCAAGGTTGGCTTCCCAACCTTCAGCAGTAGGCCTGTATAACTTAAGAGAAATTCAGAATCACTGAATGCTTAAGTCTTGGTCTCCAGCTGTTGCTGGACTAAAACTCCCATCATGCAAAACCAGTTTAGCCAAGAGTCAGGGATGATGGGAGCTGTAGTCCTGCAACTCCAGGGAAGCCAAGGTTGAAGAACACTAACAAAGCCATAACAAGGGACCCTTCCAAGACCTTTTTCTACCTGTTCACCTCGATTTGTGTGGCACCCACTCCCAAATCTATGCTGTTTTGGGTCCAGGGCTGCAGCTTCCCAAACTTTATCACCGATGATGGAAGTAAACTTGTGAAGTAGCAGGTGAGATTGTGGCCAAAGTGTGGGGGGAAAGAAGAGGCCAAGAGATCCCTTCCATCCACCTTCCCCCCTGAGATCCCTCACCTCAAGCTTCCCAGACTTTCCACAAATTCTCTCATATCTCAACCATGGAGAAATACCCCACATTATCCACTTGGCCTGACCTCAATCCCCTTCTCTACTTAAAGAGTGCTGAGTGGAAAGCCTGGCCACGTTTTTAGAAAGTAATCTTTCTTTCCCTCCACCCCAACATTTTTGGGAGAGGTAGAGCAGCACTATCTCTTCAAAAACATGTGGTTAGTGGTGGTGCTGTCAGGTAATTCCAGGCTGCATACAAGCTATAAATTTAAAGCAAGTGACTTTCTTCTAAGAATCCTGGGAGCTGTAGTCTACTCCTCACAAAGCTGCAATTCTTGGCAACTAAAAACGACCTACAGTTCCCGGGGTCCTTTGGGAGAAAGCATATGCTTCAAATGAGCTTCAGATTTATGGTATATACACATCGTGAAACACTGTCTTGCTGGGGGCAGCGGGGAACTTTTGCTAGTTATTACGTGCATTACATCACTTCAAAAATGTAGAAAGCCAGTCCTGTTGCATTTGGGACCCCTCCTGCTCCTTTTGCTAAGGAGTGGGGCTCTGAACATGCGTCTCCAAACCCTACCCTGACAGCACCACTGCATATGAGAGACTCAGAGAGGTGACTGTGATCATGTAGGAGTGATTTGTCCCCCTTTGCCTCTGCTGGTGATGCATACGGCTACAGGTGAAATTTCATACAACTTGCACAAATTCAAAGGATCCAGCAAAGCTTCTCTATTCAAATCTGATGCATTGAAAGTTTCTGATTTTAGCTTGAAAACTACCATCCTAATATAGATCTCGCAATATTGAGTACTACTTGGCCAAATTCATACTTTAAACTAATGATGATAATGATAACAACAACATATTATTATTATTATTCAATGTACCACTTAATGACAAAAAAGCTCGATACCATGTGATGCAGTGGTTAGAGCAGACTAGGAAAGAAGAGAGACCCAGGTTAAAACCTCCGCTCAGCCATGAGGCTCCCTGGGTGACTTTGGGCTGATCACTCTCTTTCAAAGTAGCCTACCTCACAGGGTTGTTGTGAGAATAAGCAACGGGGGGGAGAGAAGAACCACAAGTTACTTGGAGGAAAGGATAAAACCTTCATTATTATTAAACAACAAAGCCACACACATCCAGCAAAAAAGAGAGAGTTAAAATAATTAACAGAGATCGTAAAATGTCCTGGCTGGTGCTGATCTGAGCCGCAGTCAGCACATCTGGTGCGTACCAAGATAGCTACTTCAAAGCAGTAGTCTTCCAGCTTTTTCAGACCCAGGAACTTCCTTTAGCTCAATCATACATATGCTGACCCATTTATTATTTTTCTTACCATATATTTGTATGGTTGTAGAGCTACTGTTTTGACCCACTGTAGATAAGTAGTGGGTACCTGGTGCAACAGTTGAAGGCTGAAGTCTGGTGCAGGGAGCTTGTTGGAACTTGTGTCCCTGCAGATGTTGCTGGACTGCAATTCCCATAAGCCCCCAGGCAACAATCAGGAATGGGGGGAGTTGTAGCCCAGCAAAGTCTGGAAGGCCACAGGTTCCCCAGCCCCACTCCGGAGTCACCCTACAAATTAAGTCAGCTGAACTGCATTTCTGCAAACTGGAGGACACCCCTTTTCCCAGCATCCTCTAACAAGGAACCCGACCACCTCACACACACCAGCTGCCCAACCTCTTCCCTCCCGGCCTGTGGAGGCCACACGCACCTCACCTCTCTTCGCTGAGGCCACACATGCGAATCCGTTCAGCGCCAGTCCAGTTGTGCACCCCGCTGTAGAGAGGCGCTGCAGAGATCATGACAGCCGCTCAGCGCCAGCCAGTCTCAATCCTGTCACAGGCTCTGCCTATTGAAAAACAACAACAACGAAACACAAAGCATTAGGGCCAGATTTGACAGTTGCTGTTTTCAGCTTCCAAGGGGCAGTTCAGACAGATAAAGAGCGGGGGGGGGGGGGGCAGTCACACTGACCCTTGGCTAAGGTGAGGTGCTTCGATGCACAAAGTTAGGCTGGAGGCAACGGCATCTGCAGAAATGTTGTTGGGAAGGTGGAGTTAAAACACTAAAAAGGGGAAAGCAAGCTAACTTCTCTGCCGCACAAAATGAGAATAATTAGTTATTGTACTTTTTTGCCTCATATCTCAGGCTAGAAACTTAGCTTGTTTAAAATGAAATGTGGGGAATCTGGGAGTTATGGTTCATGGGGTGCAGGGTTGTCTCCTTTGTGGATGCCTATGGCTGGAGGAAGCATGGAGCACTGCAGGAGAAGAAGTGCACAAGGCAAAGGCACACACGTCAGCTTGAAATTCCTTGAGCGGAGTTCTGTTCAGATAAAGAGTCATTTCCTCTCCGCACTGAAGCATTGCCAGGCAATTAATTAGCAAAGCAATTCTCAGTACAGCTATGCAAGACATGAGCTGTTGAATTTCCAGACTGGGGCCACAGTGGGAAGACCATACAGGGATTGTGGGAAACCCAAAGAGGGGAGTACTGTAACTTCTCACGATGAGGAGAAGTTAGAACAAAACACAACACCAAGGGGAAATTCAAAGTCACTAGGAAGCTGTGTGGTGTAGTGGTTAGAGCTTGAGACGAAGGAGTCCCAAGTCCAAATCCCAATTACCCATGAACCTTGGGCCCATCGTCATGTATTAACCTAACCTACCTAACAGGGCTGTTGTGAGGATAAAAATTGGGCAGGGAGGAGCATCATCTATGCCACCAAGATCTCCTTGGAGGAAAGATGGAGGTTGAATGCAGTATATGAAATAAAGGGGGGGGGAGAGAGAGATGGGGGAAGCAAGTGTGAACACCTTTGCCCATGTTGTTTCATGTACCGACCGTATCAGTGCTTTATATAGTTATCAAAGAGCTTGCAGATGTGTGGGGGACTTAACGTGCAAATTCAGAGGGCGAGAAGAAAGCAAAGTACCATACAAAATGGGAGGCTGCACTGGGGGAGAAGCAGAGAGCACAGATGGGACAGGATCTCCGCGGACGAAAGATGCCAAAAGCAGAGGCCAAGGCTACACGGGCAGCCGTGCGTTTGCCGAAAGCGCAAGGAAGGATGGGGGTCAACAGCAGAGGCACGAAGGCCCCTTGAAGGATGCAGCAACAGAAACGGACATTGTTGAGTGCATTCTTTTTTTGTTGTTCCCAGGGAGGATGTGGGACGTGAGCCAGGCAGAACCATTCCCAGGGAACAGAGAAAAGGGGAGAGCAGGAATCCCTCGCAACCAGGGGAACAAAACCCAGGGATTGAAAATTGGGTAGAGGGGGGGAAAAGAGAGAGAGAGACAGAGAGAGAGAGAGAGAGAGAGAGAGAGAGAGAGAGAGAGAGAGGCATAGAAACACACACTCCAAACTAGGCAGTACAAGTTCCCAAGGAACTACGAGGAGTTCCCTTCTGGGCAGGCAGCACGTAGAGAGGTGCCAAGTGCAGAGAGAATTCCACAAAGGAATTTGCAGAAGTGCCCTCGACCAAGCCCACTGAGAAGGCACCCTGATGGCAAGCACCCCTTCTTGGAGTCAGGAGCCTTGAGAAGCAGCAAGCACCTTCTTTCCTAATCCTCAGTATGCCACTCCCTCAGCAGGAAGCTAGCCATGTACACCTCTTGGGGTCCTATAATGTCATCTTGTGTAGTCTGGCAAATTAGCATGACCCACAGCTCCCTCTCTGCCCATCTACAGTGAACCATTACAACAAAACAGAGGCACCAGTAAAGCAGCTCGAGCCTACAAATGTTTACTCAGAAGTTGCCCTGCTTTCGGCACAGTTGAGGCTAACTGTGAAGAGGATGCTGCAATCTGTAGGGTCTTCCAAATTTAGTAAACACCTTAGCAATGGAGTTTTGAATATAGCTCTCGTGAGAAAGGGGAAAGCTGCTTCCCACTTCGCCTGTTTTCTCCATTCCCCTGCCTCAGCTGCCTTTTTCAGAAGCCTGTTCCAATTGCCAGAGATGAATCCAATTCGGAACCCATGCAGAAATGCTTGCTGTTTTCCTGTTTCATTGCAAAGTTATTCAAGAAGTAACACACTCGATAATACAGGAAAGATCATCGCCTGGGAGTGCTACACTTGGTCCAGGATGCTGAGGACTGCTGGAAGCATAGAAGGGATTTTGGTAGCTTACCCATAGAACCAATTCAAAGCACAACTGCATATGCCATTTAAGCTTTTGCAGGGGTTAGTCCTGCAAGTCAGGGAGGGGCTGTGGATCAGCAGAGGAGCACCGTGCTTTGTATGTGAAAGCTCCCAGGTCCAATCTCTGGCATCCCCAGGTAGGGCTGGGAAAGAGCCCAGCCCCAAATCCTGGAGAGCTGCTACCAGTCAGGAAATGGCCTGCTGCTCATTCATCAATAGTTCTTGTAACCTGCCCTTCATCCCAAAGAGCAGCACAGGATGGCTAACAACATAACATGAAAATAACTATATGACACAACTGCCTATCAGTACAATAAACAGCACCATATAGACCCAACACCCTTTGGTCCCCCACCCTACCCCAAACGGCAGGACAGATTAGTGAGTTTTTAAATTTTGCCTGAATGTGACCAAAGTGGTGGACGATCCGATGATACTCAGGAGAGAGTTGCATAAACAGGGGGCTGCCATGCTTCCTTTTACTGTATAAGGCAGCTTCCTATGTTCCAAAGTCCTGGTGCAATGGCAATAGAGCAATAGCTAGTCAAAACCTAATGGATGGGAGGTGAGGTCCACCCTGCTGCAGAGAGGTGCAACTGTGCTCACACACCCCTTCCTAATGGTCAGGAAAGATGCAAGAGGGAGATTGTGCTGAAACCATGAGAAACTAGTCTCAAGATAGTCTGGAGGAACACCTTGGTCATCCATCTGCACAGGTGGGAGGAGAATTGCTCAAACAAACAAAAGGACTTCTCTATATTTTTGTCCTCTTCAACCTGGTCAATTTCAGGGGGCCTCTTACAGGCTGTGGCATTAGAATTAAGGACCACTAGGCTTTCCATAGTTAAAACCATACTCAAGGCAGCTTACAACATGAAAAATATTACATAATTACAAACATAGCAAAAGTAGCCATAAGCAATAAAAAAAGTCTGAAAGTACACAACTGAACTAAACAATTTCTACAACGTACCTCATCAGTGAAGTCATGAGCGCCAGCCATTGCACTCACACAACCACATTCCAGACAGCACTCTAAATAGCAATCCCTTAACCAGCTGAGCAAAGAATTTAAAATTTCCCAACAACAATATGGTTCCATCAGTGTTTTTCAGGAGGGATGGGGGTGATGGTGACTGCAATACCCTTTCAGAACAGAAGCAGTTCCTCAAGGGAAAATGCCCTGATCCTGTGCAAGAGATGAGCCACAGCAGCACATTTCTTGGTCTTCAAAATAAACATGTGAAAAGGAATTCCAACCCCAGATGGAACTCAGTGGGTCATCTAATGCAATCTCAGTGTAATCTCAGTCAAATGTAGTTGGTACAAGTGTCAACCTGGACCTGGAAAACCCATGTCTGAGTCCGTGTTAAGTCATGAAGCTCACTGCAGGACCTTGGCTTAGTCACTCATCCTCAGCCTGTGCTACCTGACAGGGTTGTTGTGAGAATAAACTATGATAACCCTCATGCATATTGCCCATAACTCATCCTAGCAAGAGCAGGATACAAACATGATTGATGGTAACAATAAATGACCTCCTACCCTAGGAGACAAGATCTCTTAGATGACATCCAGGAAAGACAGGAAGTTAACTCCATTGCGTAACTGCTCTCCAAACTCCTTAAATCATTTTTAGTCTACATCTGTCATGGAAGTTCACTACAAAGCTAGGGAAACAGCAGAAGTTGGATTCTAGCACATAATTATACAAAATAGAGTGCACAGGACACCAATGTTATATAAATGCTGGTGCTTGGAAATTTTATGTATTTTCCAAAATCTGGATTCAAACCCATTGCTTTTTGCTTTGTCCTCAGTAGAAATGATGTCTGATATCCCTAACTTTGCATAGATCTGTTCCTGCCCAGATCTGTTTTCTGCAGAACATGTATTTCATCCTGGATATCATGGTCTGAATTTTCTGCTGAAGGGTCCAGACATACTCTGAAGGGTGCCAAACAGGTGAAGGGGCCTCACAATGCTACTGGCTGGAACAGCAAGGAGGTCTCTTCAATAGAAGTGATTAGCTTAGTCCTAGCACAGAGGAAAGGGCAAAATTGGGACAAGGCAAAAGACTGGGTGTTCTTGCCTAAGATGCCCTGAAACTCTGTCCTAGGGACAGATGGAAAAGAAAGAAGCAATAAAATACCAAAAAGGATGAAAATCTAAAGGAGACGGACAAAAAGAAGTGTCCAGAGAAATTGTTTTACAGTTTATGCATTTGTAAAAGGAGGGTTGATTTTTGCAAAATAAAATCCCCAAAAAGCAGGAAACAAAAACTCCAGCAGTAAAGTTTCAAACTGCATGTTGCCTTAACTTATCTTACTTTAGCAAAATAGCTAAATTTATTGTTTCCCTTGTTTCTCCTCCTCCTACACCATACTCCAAATGATCAAACACTATTTTATCTGAACAATGACAACACAAGCTTTTCTAGCCATAACACACCATTCACAGATTATCAACACCAGCTCTGGTTTTTGGACAACATTTGGCCTCCATTTGACACAACAAAAGACAAGAGTCAGCTTTCCTGCTGTCCCTTGGAGATATTCTAGCCTTTTTTTTTTTTAATGTCTCTCCCTTCACTTCCAAGTGGGCCGTTTGAATTTTACACTGAATGATCCAGAAAGCTCAAATCGCTGGTTGCCATAGGTGGCAATGGACAGGATAGGAACACTAATAATAATTCAGGTTTGTGTTTTAAGAGGCTCAAAGCACTTAAGATACATTATTTCAATAACTCATACAACAATCCTGTAAGTTAGGTCAGTTTTATGATCCAGGATGGGTAGAAAAGCAAACAGCAGTTTTCCTAAGGGGCAGAACCTCGTTACGAAAGAACAGAATTTGAACTGGAGATTTCCTAAATTCAGTCTCAAAGCCCTTATATTAAACTTGCCTCAGAAAAATGACCATTAGTAATGGACAGATCTGCCCAAGTCTGTCCCTTTCCTTTCCACTGGCACCCAATCATAGGTCTGTTCTGTCCTATTTTGTGCAATTCTTTTTTAAAGATAGCATGAAAAACTTGTACTTAAATTATATGCACTGCCCCAAAATATGTATTTTTCAATGCTTTCCAATGTATTTTCCACAAAAGATACATTTTACATGTGCTTTAACCATCAACAACACTTGTCTGTGCTCTTTTTGCGCACTAAAACTTCATTGCAAAATCCAGTTAAGAGCATTCTCTAATGAGGACTTGTGTTCCAATCCACAGAGAAGTTTAGGACTGTTGAACTGGGTCAATACATTGCAAAACAAAAAACGAAAAAACGGACTGATCGAATTCCTCCTCCATCCCAAAAGATTACAGAGCAGAAACTGGAGAACCTATGGCTCTCCAGAAGTTGCTGAACTCTAGCTCCCATCAGCCCCAGCCAACACGGGCAATGGTCAGGGATGATGGGAATTGTAATCCAGTATGTTCTGGTGGGCCGCAGGCTTCCAACCTCTGCCACAGAGGGAAAACCAATGTCTGAATAAAGCTTTAGATGATGTTGGAACATATTTACTAAGAATCAGGGCAAAATTTCCAACATACATATATACTGTATGTTATAAAGCCAACGGCTTGTACAGCTTTGAGCGCTTCAGTGGCTACCACAAAAAGTCAAAATTGACATCTCTGCTGGTGCTTGCAGAGACAAAGGCCAAAAGGAAATGAGCTCCGTCAACAGTTAAAGGCCAGACGGATTAACAACATTTCTTATAGCTCTTGTGTTTTCAGGTCAGCCCTCCAGATGAAGAAAGAGGTTTATTCCCAACCTGCAATCTCTTTAAATTAGTCTTTGACGGACACATAGTACATAAACAAGTATGCTCCTGAATCAAATTCCATATATGACATTTTTCTTTTTAAACATACTTTCCAGCCCCCCACCCCATGAAAAACAGCAACCATTATGTAGGAAATAAATTCAGCTTGCAAAAGTTGCCAAACCTTTAGCAATATGGAAAAGATAAAGTTACCCTATTTACTTTTGTTGTACCTTATAACGACCTGGAAATCTTGACGTTGAGAACTTAAGTGAAGCAAGGAGTCCGCACTGGCAACCTGCAATTAAGCACACAACACTTCTGAGAGTGTACAGAGTGCCTCTTTCTCATGAAGTGAGAGAGAACACAGCTCCCATTCTACACATCCAGGTTGAAGGAACAAAGTTTCTAGGCCTACAGTGGCTTGAAGTATGGTACTACTTTTAGAAACAAACCACCACTATACCCAGTGGAAGGCCTTATCACAGTAGTGTCAGCAACCACTTCCAACTGGCTTCAATAGAAGGCATGCATTTGGAGCGCAGGATCAGAGTGGAAGTCCCCATTTAAAACCAGCTCCTCTCCCTCACACTCTGCTTGCGAGTATGTATACAGAATGACTGCCAAAGCAATCTTTGCCTGCACACCTGCTCATTCCCTTTTCTTAAGCGTGCGCAGCCAGGACAATGCACTCCTAAGCATGCAAAGACAATAATGCATCTCCACCGAAGCCAGGCACTTGCAAACTTTCCAACCGTCTCCAGGTAAAGCCTCTCTCTTACTCACTGTGCAATGGCACAGAGAGAACGAACCATCACTCGCTTGCTCACTGCAGCCTGGCAAGGGAAGCCTCACTGTGGAAACCTGTCGCAGCTGCAGATTAACATCACGTTTCTAAAAAACACAAGTCAGGCTACCACGACCGACCGGGAAAAGCCTCCTCCAGACCCCAAGCACACACACATTGTCCAGCCGATGACGCGATGCCTGCAGCACATCTTCCCACCCCCACCCCGCAAACCACCCTCCATCCCCATTTCAGCTTCAAAAAACGTCCCATCCCTTCACTCTTCCCCGCTGCCACTGCCAGGCTCCGATTTTCTTGGCAGGCTGAGAACTACACGACAGTAAACATGCACAACGACTAGCTTCGGGGGCTGCCATTTGTGGGGCCAACCTGGAGGCAGAGCCCTGATTACAAATTGGATGGGGGGGGTGTTGCTTATGTGTTACCTGGACAAGGCAAGGCAAGGCAAACTGGGATAGCATGCAAAGCCCTAACTCTATCCTCCTCACCAACACAGACACACGGACATCTCTTGTGCTTTGCAAGCATTTTCAAGCTACCCTCCCACCGAGACATTGGATTTTAAAGGGCAGGCCCATTCCAAACGGGCTGGCCAGTTACACTGCAAAGATGCCAACCAATACTTCCCACTCTTCCAAATAGGGCAAAAGTTGTCCCCCTCTTTCTGAAAACAAGCTTATGCTCTCTTCCCTTCCTGCGGACACACTCTCTACCGAGACTCAGAGAAATCAACCTCCGGAAGAACGGGTCGCCTCCGTTCTGCCTTCAGCAGCCCATCTCTGCCTCCCGACCGTCTAACATTTGGTTACTCCTTCCGAGTTTAGCTCGCCGCCGCGCCGCGTTCCTCCTCTCCTTTTCCCCCGCGCACCACGATCTAGGCTGCCCGTCCCTTCGGGACCGTCACGGGCATCGCCCTTGTCTCTTGTTGGAGGGAGGGAGCGGGGTAGGGGAAAGAAAGAGGGAGGCGGCGGCGGCGGAAAACAGCAACCCAAGACGCCTGGAAGAAAGCAGACGGGAGGGACCAACCAAGCTTGAGTCTCTGCCATTCAGAAGTGTATATGCCATTATCAGGTCTCTTCTATCGGCGGATCGCCCCGCAACGTGCGCCCGGAGTGGGTGGCCGCTGAATTATTCCCCCTCCTCGCTCAAAAAATTAAGCCCAGAATTTAGACGGGGTGGCGCAGCTCAGGCTCCGCATGCCGAAGGCTTACCGCACGCTCGGGATGCGCAGAGACTCGCGCAGACCACCGTATCCGCCACCGAATTCGCCAAAGCGAAAAGGGTGTCGACCCCCTCTGTCCGCCCCGTCGATGGAAGCAGAGGAGAAATGGAAAGAGAGAGTGAGGAAGAGGAGGGTGGCGGTGGTCGAAGTAGTGGGGGTAAGCCCAAGCACCCCTTCCTGAGAACAGAAAGTGAAATAATCTGCCTGCTAGCCTGAAGCGACGATCGCTTCCTCCCTCGCCGTCGGGGCCGGAGCAGAAGCGGCCCTGCTGTCACCATCCTGTCCTGGACGGGACCTTACCGCGAAGGGAGGACGGGAGGGGGGGGTCAGGAAGGGAGAGAAAAGGGCCGCGGTCCAAGGCCCGCTCCCCGTTTCCATGGAAACCTCACTCACACGCCGCCCCCCCTTCCCTCCCCGATGGCGACGGAGGCGGCGGTGGGGGGGGGGAGAGGAGAAGCGGGCCCGGGAAAGGGAACCGCCGGGGACCGTCCACACGCACCTGCTCCCAAGGCGGGCCCCCGCCGGGGTACAAGGGGCATTCGATCCCGAGGGAATCCAGCCAAGCGGAGCCGGAGGAGCACAAGGGCCGGCCAGCGCGGCTCCACCGATCAGCAGCGCAGCGCAAGGAACAGCGGCGGTGGCGGCACTGGCAGCGGCAGCCCGAGTGTGAGGACGAGAGCGAGCCGCCGCCGACTGCTGCTTGCTGCGGGGCCTGCCGGGAAGTGTAGTACGGTCGTCCGGCCGCCCCCACGCCCACCCCGAGCCGGGCCCTGCCCTGCGGACTACGCCTCCCAGGCTGCACCGCGGCGAGCCCTGCCCGTGCGGGAGGGGCGGTTTGCTCCGAGCCAGCCGAGTCCGGAGAGGGAAAGAAGGGGGGGTGGAGTGTTGGGGGGGTTGAGAGGGGGAGGGGCCTCGCGCCCTGCCCGGGGAGGGGGAGAGGCTGGGCGAGGGCGGGGGGCGAGGGCGGGGACCGTCCTCCACCCGAGGGGAGGGAGAGATAAGAAGGGGCGAAGGGGAGGAGGCGGCAGCTGCTGCTGCGCCTAGGCTCTTGCTCGCCTCCCCTCTTTCCACCCCCCCGGGATTACCCATTCACACGCACAAAACCAAGTCCTCGGGTGGTACTGGGCACCCATCCCAAAAATATGCAGTTAGCTGTCCACACCGATGAGGTCACGGGACTGGAGAGAGAAAAGAGGAGGGGTCGGGGTACATCAAACATTGCGGTGTGGGGGAGTTAGGTGTTTTCTGGGGAGAGATCTACAATTTTGGGTAATCAAGCGGGGGCCTGAAAAGATAAAGGGGGCGCAAGGAACCCGCGTGGCGTTAAGGGAGGGGGAGGTGGAAGCCCCGAGTGCGCACGGAGCCCAAGAGGGTCAAGCGGCGGATCAGCCGAGGGCTCCGCGGTGCCTAGATTGGCGAGCGCGCCTCTCTGCGCAGCGGGGAAAGAGAAGCGAAGACCGGAGCGGTGCTGTCCGGTGGCTGCACCGACGGAGACAGCCCGCAAGCGACTCGGGAGGGCTGCAGCACGCGGATGGGAAGAAGCAGGGTGCCCGTGCCGGGGGTACCTGGATCAGCCCGAGCTGATACTGCGCGCGTTCCAAGCTCCGCACCTGCGCTGGGTGGGCGCCCCCTCGGGGTCGCAGCGCAACGCGGCGTCCGAGTCTCTCTGTCTCCCGCTCGCTCGCTCGCTCGCTCCCTGGGCGGCGCAAGCCGTGATCAGCACCGGCGCGCCCCGGGGAGCGGCTGGCCTGCCTACCTCCTTCCGTCGCCTGCTCGGCTCCTCTCGGGGATGCGGCCGGAGGGAGGCGCCCCAGCTCGGTCGGAGGATCGGTTGCTGGCTTTGACCCCCAGCCGGCCGGCAGCGTCCGTCGCCTGCCTGCTTGGCGGCCACGCTCTCCTTCACCGCCCGTCTGTCCGGGCTCGCAGCGCCTGCCCTAGAAGTTGCTCGAGCTTCGAAGGCCGCGATCGCCGGCCAGGCCCGCGCGAGTCCCACCTCGCGTCGGCAGCACAAGCAGAAAGCCCACGCCGCGCCGCCCTGCTCAGTCCGGCCCCCCTGTGGGCCGTCTCGGCGACGATCGAGCCCGGCTTCCCTTCCCCTGGGCCCGTCGTCTTCGCCACTGCCCAAGGCCCTCCCCCTCTGCTCGGCCGGGACCCTCCTCTCGCACCCCAGTGCCTTCCCACCCGCGCCGTCTTGCCCCCTACCCTAGCCCAGCGCCCTCCCTTACCAGGATCGCAGTCCATCTAGGACGAGTGGCGTTGATCCCGTTTCCCCTCTAGTTTCTCCCCCACCTTTTTTCTGGCAGCCCCGCACGTCTTTACACCCGCGTGTGCACACACACCTCTCCTTACCAGTGTGCCGTCCGAGCGACTCGATCTCTTTGCCACACCTCCGCTTTCCCGAGCTTTAAACCGACTCCCCTCTGTATGGACCCAGCGCCTTACATCGTCTGCCCTAGCCGTTCTTCCTGCTTTTTGTATTCCGCCTCAGGGCTAGGAGTTCTTTCTACCACAACCTGGTTGGCCGGCACAGGGAAGCCCACCCCCCACCGCCGCCACCAAGCAGCAACTATGCAATCTGGGGCTATTAAAACTGTGCGACAGGGAAGTAAGCTAGTGGGGACTTACTCTCGAGTAAGCTTCCTGAACAGCCCCCAAGAATCTTTAAGCGGGAATTCTTCTAAAGGATCCTAAAATCAGGAGGAATTTATTGTATTGCATTGCATTTTGCAGCTTTGAGGTATGCTTTGCATTTTGCAAAAAACTTTTTACAGAGATGGATGGAACTGTGATCAGGCAAAACCCACCCAACAAACCCCAATCAACAACCCTTACTACTCCTGAAGACAATTAAGTGCCTTGAAGAGGATTGACTTCCCATCAGGATAGCTCCCTCTCTCCATTTATTATTTCTGCTCCTACCCCCCCCCCCTTGTTTCTTGCTTTTACTCAAACTTCTCTAGGAAGGCCCATTTAAGATTCCTGACCAGGTGCTCAGAGCATAAAGTCGTAAGAGGCAATTCCACTACACTACCTTAAACTGTATGTGCCCCAATCTAGAGAGCATTGTGGACTGGGGGCTAAAATTAAATTTCCATTACCTCCTGTGCTCAGGGGAAGTTTACTTCTTGTATGACTTCCCTGGTTTATGTGCACAACGTGTTGTTCTTCTAGCAGAACAATATCTCTGTGCTTCTGCCTCATCTTCCTTACTAAATACCTGCTGAAAGGCCACCTGTATTTTATGTTTCTGCCAGTGGCCAAAATCACACAGGATGTGAAAGTTAGAAGACAGGTCCATGAAGATGACCTCCTGGGTGTTACTATTGGACAAAGTTGCTCAGATACAACGCCTCAAACTCTTCCACCAGTGTACCTGTGAATTCAAAAGTGGTATGTTTCAGAAGTGAGGGGAAGAAATTTAACAAATATACAGCTAAGCCTGTAATTCAGCAACCAAAGCAACACCCACCTCCAGCTGAAGTTTCTTGCACAGTAAGAAGACATCCAGGTGATTTTGTGTAAGATGTAGACCAGAATAGGATGAACTTGCTTAGAAATTGGGGAGAGGAACAATTTACCCCAAGGAACATGTTGCCCTTTAACTGCTCAGTGGTGGATTTCCCTAACATGGATAACGGGCCTAATAAAATAACTCCTTTCTTTCTAGATGTAATAGGCATAGCTGAAGTATACCTGCTCTGCTGCTCTACGTCACTTTAAATACTGGTTTTACAGCTGGTAAAGCATAGTGGTTTGGGCTTAGTGCAGACCAAACCATGATTTGCACTAACTATGGAGTAGCACTCACAGACTCTCAGTGTTTCCAAAGGAAAGAATGCTCACTGTGCTCCCCCAAAAAATGTTCCTGCAGTTCAGAACATGCTTGCTGTTCCCCGGGCAGAAAGCAGCGAAAGAACAGTCACATACATTTCCCACAAATTGAAAGCAAGGTAAGAGTTAATGGTACCCCAGCCAGTATAGGGACCAAGGAGAACCCTTTGCAGGGCAAGATCAGGGGGTCAGGGCAAGATGAGATCAGCACCAGAGAAGGAGAAGATGTGGGTCATGTGAGCATTTTCTGTAGGTGAATGTTAGCAGAGACCAGATGGGTCTGGGAAAGGAGACCATGCCCTTTACACCTGTTACTCGACTACAGCCCTCAGCATCCTTGGCTATTGGTCATGATGGCTGAGGCTGATGGGATTTGGAGTCCCAACATCTTCAAAGGTCCCACCACCACCTTTTTTAGTCTGACCTTGCTGGGGGAAATCACACCCCGGCTGGAGAGCAGCTTTTGAGATGGTTCTTGTATGTACATGGCTTGATTTTTCCACTGGATGGCTTAACATCAAATGATAGCATGCATGTCTGAATGGGTGAAAAGAGCTCTCATAACACCAACAGAACATTGGCATCATCTCATATTACCTCAAACACAATATTTTCGGTGGAAAATGACTGTAGGGGCACAGCCTTCACTAGGGATGCTATGTTAGGTCCTGGAGATGTCAGGGATTCAACTTACGACCTTCTGCATTCAAAGCTGGTACTCTACTGCTGAGCTAGGTTTCCTCTTGAAAGTTCTATTGGTGTTCTGCCTACCATTCACACATGCAAATTGCACGTCTTGTGGTGCAGTAATCAAGTGAAGAGGCATGCAAGTATGAATCAGCCCTTCATCTATGGAAGTTGACCAGGCAGGCAGGCAGGCACATATATTTGCAAACACCAGATAACTGATAAATCCTTAGGCAGCTGAACTGATGGCTTGAATGAGAACAATACAAGAGCGGTGAGATCCTGATAGAGACTGAAGGGGAAAAGTAGAAGGAGAAAGAACAAAACTTCTCCTATGCTGTTACAGTGGTGACAAAGAAAGGCCATGCAAAATTTTGCTAACTGGATGTCCTCCAGACATCGTAGAATGCAACTGCTATCAACAGCAGCCAGCGCAGCTGAGATTTTGTAGCATAAAACCTCTGAAGAACGCCAGGTTTGTGAAGGCTGCAGTACAGACTTCAGTGATTTAAGTGGAGGCAGTGTTAGAAACTCACGATATATAAGCCAGGTGCAAAATGGCTCCTAAAACCAAGGTTACAGGTCACCAAAATGGAATGTCTAGTTGCTATTTGGGGCAAGTCTTACTTTTCAAATGGCTATGATTCTCAGTTAAACATCTAGCTAGTTCAGAGGACAACCTTGAGCTAGGTTAAGAATTTTGAGAACTTAAAGAAGAAAAGCCACTTTATCCAGGGACAGTCCACATATATACTGGCCTATTCTGACCTCTTTTTCTTAATGGTGACACGGATCATTCATAATGTGGGAATATTATTCACAACTGGGAGCAGGGAAGTGGAGTGGAGTATGTGAAGACAAGCGACAACCATTAACTATAATGTTGTTGACTGCTCCACCTCAGGCAGCACAGAAAAAGCATTTTGGTTCTGAAATTGACCTTAGTTTTCCAGAGGGGAAGGGCAGTAGTAATTAATGTATTGTGCCCATACTCCCTGGAGGGAGTAGTAGTGTGGTGCTGCTTTGACTCTGGGATGATTTATTCTGAAATAACAGCAGGGTAACAGAGAAATCCAAAATGCAGAAACCCACCAGTGGGGTGCGTACACCAGTAATCCACCAGTGCTAAATTGGTGGCATGCAAACCTCTTCTGATAGGTCAGATCATAGGTCTGGATGACAGCCTTAGCAGAATTGTTCAGCCAAGGTTAGCCTGGACTACACAGAAATTCAAGGGTGCCTTTGAGCATGCACAAAGTACTTCCCTGCGGCACTGTGCATCATCAAGACGTAAAAAACCCTAAGTTTAGGAGAATGAACTTGCTGACTGAAGCCGGGATTTCAAGCTTTGATATGATGCTCAGTAGCAGGTCATCTGCCTTGCATGTAGAAGGTCCCAGGTTCAATCCACAGCATCTCTACGTAGGGTTGGGAAAGACTCCTGCCTGAATTCCTCGAGAGCAATTGTCAGTCAGTGTAGACAATACTGAGTTACACTGACCAATGTTCTGACTCCATCTAAGGCAGCTTCCTGAGTTCCACTCAACATGAACAACCATCTGAGCATATGGGTCCAAACCCAAGAAAGTAGGCTCTCTGCTGAAGAGAAAAAAAGGAGAAGGCTTCATTTACTACGTCCAAATTATAATCAGTCTTGCTAGAAGAGGTGTGCTCAGATTGTTTCCTTCTCCTTTGGTGGGTACGAGAGTTTTAGAACATTTATTGCCAGAAATGTCACAATCTTAGACTACAGATCGCTCCCAAAGCAATGCTTCCTCATCAATTTGAACCTAATGTCCCAGGATTCCTGCATAAAGACCTTCTTAGACTATGTGTATGCCATGACAAAGTTGTGTACAGCATGTAGCTGGAAGTCTCCAACACAACCCTCTCAACAGTTGTTGATTAATAGGATTTGGGACATTAGGTTTAGGAACAAATTTAATTCAGCTTAACATAGGAAGCAAGGAATCCCCATTTTTAATAATAATGCAGTGTGGCTTTCAGTTTTATTTACTATATGGAAAGCCTTCAAGCTTCTGATTAACTGCCAATCAAGTGCGGATGACTATATGATGTCTATATCATCAAATATATGTATCAAATATCCATTCTCATTTTCTTTTCTTTCTTTTTTGAAGTAATTGTCCCACAAGCATGACATATATTAAGGATTGCAATCAGTGGGTTTCTTTATTCCTTTAGTCATCTTGTTGTGTTTCCATGTGCCTTGCATTCTGTTGCAGGCATTTTTAACTTTTATTTGAGGAAGAGGAAGAGGAGAAGAGGATGACAAGGCACCTCTTGAGATGGGGAGGGGAGAGAATACATAGCTAGACTGCACAGGATGTTCAGTTACGGTTCTTCTGTCTCAAATCTCCCCCCTACACGCACACCCACACCCAGAGTTTTCTGCAATGCCCAGAAAACTGGGTTGGGGGAGTGTGCATGTTTGGAAGGCCAGAGGCCAGTTGTATGCTGGGGGAGGGGAGGAGTAGTCCGCTGCGCAAACTGACAGCGTGCCCCAGAGGACTCTGGCGAATTTCTTCTGCTTTCATGCCTGCCTTCCCGCCCCCCGCCCCCCAGCCATCGCTTAAGGGAGACCTACTGAGGGCCTCCAAAGTTCTAGCAGGCTTTTTTTTACTGTTTTCCCCACTCAACAGGGAAAAATGAGAACGGTACATTAAGGAACAGGCCCTATAATGCTTCCATTCTTTCCCAAAGCCCAACATTTAAGCCGTTTGAATTTTAAAGCAAAGCCAAAACTGCTCGTCTATCTTTGCCCGATATCTTTTCAAGCTATTGGTGATGCTTTAATCAGCTGAATTAACTGCAGTGGCCTTGGGTTTTGTTCTGAGATGGATAGGAACTTTTCCAGAGAATGTGCTTTCATTAGGGAAGATGAAAAGGGGTTCATGCAACAAGAATTTAAGGGAGGAGAATACTTCTCAGGCAAGTGGATTTCTTTAGATCTGGACAAGCAATTCTGACTTTTAAGTCTTGAGGCAAGTTAAGTTAAGTTAAGTTAAGTTAAGTTATATTATGTTGCAGAGGTAAACATCTGGAGATCACCAGGCTGGGGAAAGTTAGTTTAAAGCGTTCTGCTAGGAATGGGTTTAAAATCTCAACTTTGTCAGGAAGCTCCCTAGGTAATATTGGCCTTGTTTCTGTCTGTCTTTTGCTATCTCTCTCTCTCTCTCTCTCTCTCTCTCTCTCTCTGAATAACCTACCTCACAGGGTTGTTACGAATATAAAGAAGTGGGGAGGAAACCATGTACACTGCCCCAAATCCCTCAGAAGAAGAATGGAATATAAGCATCAATGGAATATAAGCATCATAAACATATGCATATTATTCAAACCTAGTAACATCAGTGTTATTTTTCCAGAAAAAGAGGTGTTGGAACTCACCATGAATGCCTCCCTAATTCTCTTAGAACAGCAGTGATGCTCACCTGAGATGTGCCAGAACTGAGTTCCAGTGAGTTCCGGCTGGGGAAATAAGCCCTGAGTGACACAATGCAAAAATTAACCTCTGAAAACTGGATAAATTATCGAACACCATTTCATTACTAGCACATCTCTTTCCTGTCTTCCCATTCTTAATAGAACTCTCCAGGTGGTGAAAAACCATCTTCAAAGACATAAACAGTCCAGTTAAAGCAGCACAAGACTGAACCACTAATAGCACACATTTTAGAATAGCTTGCAATATCATATTGACAGAAGTCAGAACAAAAACCAGAACCATTTCCAATTGCTTTGATGAGCTCCCTGATC